CACCTGCACCACTAGTCAATTTTGAAAAATTCTGGTGGAAACATACAGGAGCACTGGTGGTTCCGGCTACAGTTTTGAAGATGACTGCAGTCCAAAGAGAAAGAGACAAAGGCGTAAGTCACAGGATTCATACTCAATGGACATCCTTCCAGGGAGTTTTACTCACAAGTTCCAAATTTGGGATCCACAACTGCAGCACAGACAACAACTGTCGTAAGCCACATAATGCATAATACTCAATGAATTTTCTTCCAAGAAGTTTACTCACAAACGTCCAACACAAAGTCATCATCCTTGTCTTCATCGCCTAGCACAAATGAAACTGTGGTCTCTCTCTCTTCCCCATCAGTATCGGTAAAGACTTGCGATCTTGTGTTCACATGTGTTAGCTCAAAGCTGTATAAGGAGGCAGAGAAAAATTCGGTAGTGAGAACAAAAGCTGAAACAAAACGCACAGCAAGATTTAGACTAGAATATTCATTCTGTTCTCAGTATACTTACCCACCACCAACCATAATACCAGGACCAAAAGACATGTCAAAACTAAGGGTTCCTCCAAAAGTGCTTTCTTTGCTGTCCTCCCCTGGGTCAAGCTGGCTTAGCTCAGTAATGCCTGCATGGCCCATTGAGAACTCCATTGTGCCTCCACCGCCGCTGAATTGAAGCCTGTTGGTCTCCTTCAAGTCCTTTTTGCCACTTTGCGACCCAGCCATGACATACGGAGCATTCTGAACTGCAATTGCTCTTTCCGTTAGTGTTTCAGGAGTCAATTTTGCCCAATGCGCTCCAGGTTCGATGACTGGCTTCAAGGCATTTAGGTGCGTATATTGCGCCCAGCTTTCAAAGTTTTCAAAGAAGCTTCCAGCCATTGAAGGAGGATCAAAATCAAAGATTTTATCTTTCTTCGCCGCCCACTTGTCAAACCATTCTCGGGCAGGAATGAGTTGGTTCTCTGCCATGTTGTTGGTGGCATCATATGCTACCAAGGAACTATTCCAACTATTCAGGGCATAGTTCAAGGTATCATATTGTGACTTCAGCTTCGTCTTATTCTGTGCATCAGTTTCGTTTCCCCAACTGTAAAGGTACTCCTGAACCTTTTCCTCCAGTGTTGGGAGCACATGTGTTTCCAAGTAGTAAACACTGAAGAAAGACACAGCAGGCTTGTTCTTATTAGTGTCTGCCAGGTTGAATTTCGTTGTAGTGGTTGTCTTGGTTGAGCAACTTTCAGGATGCCACTTGAAGTTCAAAGTCTCAGAGAACATGACATTCAAATTCGGCACCACAAACACATCAGATTTGCGTCCAGCAAGCATTGGATCGTCACTTGTTGTGTAGCTGATACAGTCAGTAAGTATGGGAAATGCGAAAACATGGTGAGCTGTGAACAATCTAATTCAGCAAGATTTTGAATAAAGTACGTAGCTCCCTAATCTAAACATACCTCCAGGTGGTTGTGTACTCTGCAGTTAAGGCATCTTCCTTGTGCATATGATAGGTCACATCGTCAGAGTCAAAGCCACCACCCAGACCATCGCCCGACACGGCAAAATTTTTAGTACAAACTGAAACCCCAAAGCCAAAACAACCTCCAGCCTCAATGTCAGCTCCAATGTGTAGTCGAGAATTGTGCGAAACGTCCTCCAGCCTCTCAAATTCTGCTGACTTTACCCTCATGGCTTTTACAAGAATAGAACCGATGAGTGAGGCTCCGTGGATCACAGAAATGAATAGAGAGCAACACAAGCAACACATACTAGTCTGCACATTCTCATAGGATGCCTGTGAAAGCCCTCCAGGGGGATCTCGAAGAATCAGAATGGGCTCATAGGTTGGGAGAGCAAAGGATTTTCCTTCTCCCAATTTGTAGTCGCCTATTACAACCATCTCGGCGACATGGGTCAAGATACGCACACCCTGCTTGGTCACCTTGACTTTGAATGTCTTGCGGTCTGCGGAGAAACAAAGAAGAGAACCAGGTCAGACAAGGCCAGTCAAAGCGACCCAGAGACTTGTTTTTATTTATGTTGATGCTTACAAGGGGAGTCAATCCTGGTGGAAAAGAATAAGTAAAAAATAACAGCTTAGACTTGTTCACAGAGCATGCACCGAATAGCACCCCAACCCACGCTGTACCTACCTTGGACGTCCAACAATGAACTGGATTCTGTTTCCCCTTGCATCTTTGGGAGTCACACGTGCATTAGACTCTACTTCATTGATGTTGGTATGTTCCACCTTGAACTTGCAAGTGTTTTGAGGACCACAGATCTCATACTTTTTGATTTCATCTTCATTGAGACTCTTCTTGAACTCTGCCCACTTCGCATCAATGCCCACACTGTTCTCAATTTCAACCTCAATATCCTTGCCAACAACATCGCAGTACATATCCGTCATTAGTTTGTATCTGAGTGTCACAACAGGCTAAGCAGGCACAAAAGTACACCGTAATCAGATGAGCCAAGGAATCTAGTGGCAACAGCATCATTTTGACAGACTCAAGAGAACCGTGGCAAGCAGATGTTGACCTACCCTGAAGAATGAACCTGTCGGTGTGATGTGGAGGGAGTAGGTAGTACCAGCTTGCTTCTTCACCAAAGACTCTGGCAAGACAGTGTCTGCAGGACACTGTCCGGCGTTGCGCAAGTCCGCTCCGCCAAATATGAATCCACTCTCCAAAGCACCATCATACTGGGAGTTACCGGAAAGTGGCATTATGTGAGCTGCATGAAAGTCTATTAGTGATTGCAACCACACCAAAAGCCCGTTAACATACCTGAAAGCGAAGCTCTGGGACAATCTTCTTTGGAGCGTCCGGTTCAACTTCTCCGACTCCTGATTCATCCTTGGGCGCATCTTGTTTGCCCTCTTCTTCTTGCTCCTTTGTCACTTCCTTGCGAAGATCAACAGCCTTGGTCTGGGTCTTGTCCAAAAAGTGCTTGGTGATGTATTGTAGCTTCTGTGGTGGGTTCTCCATGTTTCTATCATCTCTTATCTCCAGTACTCGTACATCCAGAACATGGGCTGGGAGAGAATGCTGTTGCTTCCACTGACCTTGCAGTAACACGATTGGAGGCTGTGAGTCACACACTTCAAATTCTATCTTGCTTCGGCCCAAGCGCAAATCACACTCTCCTCCGGCTATCTCGACAAAGAGGGCTGCCTTCTGAATGTCGACAAAATCATTTCCTACGTAACGCCTCTTGGGGTCAATGAACATTCCTTTTGTGTAATCAAGAACATTACCTGGGGCCCTCACAATCTTGTGCTCAAAGTAGGCCACTTTAACTCCAACCTGGATAGAAAATGTAAAAGTGAGAAGTGAGCATCCGTGGCCAAACTAAATCTGGAATTTTAATTCTAGCAGAATTCCACTCACTGTGGTCCCAATCGTAGCTGGCAGATTGAAGTTTCCAGCACGATCAGTCTTCACACAAGCCCCCTGGACCTCAGGGAAATTTGGTCGTTTCTGTGCCACACAAACGTCTGCCCCAATCAGGGGGCAGCCATCATATTCCATAATTGATACTCTTCCTTTGATAGGCACAGATGTCTTGTCGCGGGCTTCGAAGGGTTCATTGAACTCAAGATGCTTCAGATAGATAACTACGCCGTCCTCTCCTGAGCAGTCAACGGTACCATCTTCGCAAACAAATTCATGAAAAATTGGATCACTCCCAGCCAACTCTGTTTTCTTGTCAAATGTGATGCGAATCGGGAAAGCATTGTCACGATTGAGAAATCTGTTGATGCTGTCATCCACATCAAACTCCATCTTGAATTTCCCTGGCTTCTTTGTTGTGGCAGTGCCTTCGTGAATGACAACAGTTTGCTGCATGTTCATCAACTGCCAGTTTATTTTGACATCCTCTACAGGCACCTTTCCTTGGTCTGTTACAATTCGCCCCTTGATTGATGCTTGCCACCTCACAAAGTGGATCTGTTGTGTTTTGTTTAAAACACAGAAACATCAAAGAAGCATGGAGATGGCAGGTCAAAAATGCATGTCAAGCCAACATCCATTCTCAACCATATCTGGACATTTCGTACCTTGCAGGCGTCATCACTGGAATGTGGAGAGTCAGCTGCATAGCGCTCTGCGACAGCCCTGATACAGTACCTGTAGGGCTCTGATACCTGAAGTCTTGAGAATTTGAGATCATCAGCAGCATTGGTTCCTGGCTTGACTGGAGATTTTGTGCACTTCTCCTGAAAAGCCGAAACCAAAGACTTCAGATAACTGTATGCTCGCTGAATAGAAACCCATAATGCTTTCAAATCTCTTTCGTACCTTTGCAAAATTGACAAAGTTTGGAGTAAACGTCTGCCTGAGTTTCGCATCTGCCTTCACAAACTCTCCATTACCCACTTCGGTCCTAGTAAATGCATAAGCCTCTGAGCAGCGCGAATTATCAACAAACTCAAATGTAACCACACCAAGAGTTTGATTGACGCTGATGTCGATGGGCCTTCCAGTGGTGTCATCATGTTGTGTGGATACTTCACAATCACAGCAACAGTAGGTCACTTGGTGGGCTCCATCAAAAAATACTTCACCCGCATCATCGCTGATTGTGTACTGATACTTTGATCCAGGGCGCAGACCATTAAAAGTCGTCTTATAAATATCCTGGGAAGCATCCAATGCTACCACATCCTGCACTGTTGAGTCCCATTTCTGAACAACTTCTGGTGCTTTGTCCGGATCCTTGTGGACATACATTACAAGGAGACAAACGAAAACAAGTACGGGTTTACAGATGCTGCATTTCAAATGTGTTTACCAGTGAAGATCCTGCTCCAACTTACATCTGTGTCGTATCGAAGCATATTGACATTGACCTTGGCCAAGCCCGGCTTCTTAATCACCACATCGAAAGAATCAAAGGAGACCTCATTCTGGTTGTCTGCATCTTCGGCGAGAATACAAGTGTTCCCCGAGCCTGATGACACTGCATTTGCACCATACTGGCTGCCAACATATCCCTTATTACACTTGCAAGCTGAATAATCAGCAGCACATGTGGCGTGGTTTACTTCATCGGGGCAGACAGAGCTGAAACAAAGGCAGCCAACGAATTTGCATGGGTGAGCATATTTTGATGCCATGGTCATGGTCATAACCAAGCCTTTTCTTTACATACGGTTGGTAGTAGCAAGTATCCATTTGCTGACAGCCTGTGCCTGTTTTAATGGGTTCTTCTCCACACCCACAGAAATGGGGGTTACTCCACGAAAGATGAGGAAATTTGGCTGCTGTTCCAAGATCCTCTCCAGAGTTGACAAGATCCCTTCGTAGTGCTGATGATGTTCTTGCACTGTCAGCAATGTCAGACTTGTAGGCCTTAATCTCATCATATGTGGAGCACCTGTCAATAAAATATTTGTGAGACTGAGTCTAGCTCATCAAGGAAGACTTCGAAGAATTCATGGAGCTTACTTGAAAAGGAAGACAAAGTCGGATCCTGGAGACCACTTGTACGAGTACTGTCCATTTATCTGTTTGTGGGCATTTTGAAAGTCAACATTGCCCTGAACAGGCATGTATTTCAATGAAAGTGGATTTGATGATCCAAAAACATCAGTTCCAAGACAATAAGGCGTCCCATATCTCCTTGATGCTCCAAGATGCTTGTAGCCGACAAATCCAGTAACGGGGTCCTTGTAGAGCTCGACAGCAGTGTTTTCCCAGTTATTGTGTGCATGGAATGAATCGCTGTAGAGTGGCTTGTGTTCATCATGGAAATCGCATGACTTTAGCTGGGCCTAAGGAACGACAAAGTCCTTCTCATCGTCTAATGAGAAAAATAAAATCAATGAGGTAATATGTACAGCAAAACCAGACACAAATGCCTTCTGCTACGCATACCTGACCACATGGAGATCTTGACACTGCAATACGGCCAGACGCCATATTGTGTGCACGGTTTGAACAGTGTGTAAATAAACCCTCCCCAACCGTAGTTATGGGTCCCAGTATTTATAGAATGGGCATCATAGTTGAATGTCAGCTCGCTCTGCAGGCAGGAAGATGGATTATCAGTGAGTTTCACCAGTTTAACAATCGAGTAAATCCAATACCTCACAAAGACATACATATTTCAAACCACCTCCATCCCATTGGGGCCCAAACCACCAAGGCCACAAAAAGACTAAACTCTTTTTCACGCATCTCATATAATCGATGCTCGGAGAAGCAAAATTTGGCCAACCAGACCAAACATTACCGAGTGCAACATAGCCATTTGGGCAGATTGGAATCCACACCAGACACCAAAAGATGCCATGCCAACATTCAACAAAGGGTTTGTAGAAAATGGGAGCTGCAAGGGAATCACCACCACCCTTTGCCACAACCATTGCTTTAGATCTTGCAAAATCAGTATTAATGCCATCACCAAGCCTGTTAAGAATTAGAAACAAAACAGCAAAATCTTAAGAACGGACACCAAGCAAGGCAGACGATCTAATCTAATCTAATCTAATCTAATCAATACTTTGTCTCAGTCAATGGGCTTACCTGAAGTACCCTGGAGGAAGTTCTCTGTCAGAGACTCTCAAAACGCGGAATCCCCCATTATATCTCCAATAGATCACATCCTGCAAAGTGATACAAAAAAAGGAGTAAGATTGCAAACTCTGTACTGGAAAGATTTTGTTTTTGCTGTCACTGCCACAATCTTACTTCAGTAGCAGATTTTGTCTGTACATCGAGGAAATCTGTCGATTCAATGTTGTAAGCCTGGATTTTGTAGTTGAGCTCAGTTGGGGCATAAGCGTCAAAGTGTGGGCACAAAGATGAACGCGCATATGGCTGATTGCCATCATTGTACCGCATTATTGTCTGTGTTGCGGCCCCAAAGTCGGTGGGGGCATCAATGTTGTCCTTATAGAAATCATTAATCGCTTGCCTTCGACTGCAGATGCTTGTAGCAATCCCTCTGGCTTCGGCCTGTTTCCAAGCAGAATCAATAGTGTAAGATGGACTATATGCGATACATTCACAGAGTGGCTGAAATACTTACCGACACAGCTTCATCGTACAACTTGATGTTACTGAATCGGCTCATTCCTACCTCAGGATCAGCATCATTGTCCTGAACCAAGGCAATGTATTTCATGTTGGTGTTGTGCGGCTGTTCTCACAGGGAACAACAACAAATGTGAGTTCTGGCAACAACTCAAGGTGTCACCGTATGTAATTGCTGCACCACGTACAAGGTATGATTTTCCTTTGGATGGCCCCTCAGAGACAGACCCAAGCTTAATCTTGTAGTGAAACTGTGAAACCAAAGTCATTTAAGATGTGCTCAGTGTTGAAAGATAATGCAACCAGAAGGGAGAGTTGCTCGTACCTTTGAAGCAGGTGCTTTCCAACTGTCTCTCTTGTCACCCTCCCTTGGAATCTTCCATGTTTCAAACCATGATGGATCTCCCTCCGTTCCTGCCAGCATAAAACAACGATGTTGACCTTCAATTTCAACGTCTTCATTGGTATCTTCATCGACACTGCGGACACATTTTGTTTGAGTGTTGGACATCAATTAGTAAAATTGTCAATCGCGGCTCCATGGAGCGAACCCTCAGTCATGAAGCCTTACCAGATCGCATGTCCCTCGGCCTCATTCCTATGTTCAAAGTCAAATTCCAATACCTGGGTTGAACAACAATGGAAGGATATAAGACCTTGGTCACCCAAATTACATCAAAGACTTTCACTTGTTTGTAAGTTGAATCTTACGGTGCCCTCGGTAATGGTATATTCGCTGCCCAGTGAAAAAGCTTTCCAGATATTACCAACCAAGAGTATACTGCTGCCTTGATCAAGAACAATATACTTCCCAACACCATCTTGGCCAATTCCATATGGAACAGCTCGTCGCAGGGCCCTAGAACTCTCCTTGATTGTCATTTTGAGTTGCTACCATTTGAGACCCAGACAGCAGCGTGAGAGTTGTCAGGTAAGGAATGCCACAGTAGAAATTTACCATCATTTACATGACGTACCCCTCCACAAACTTTTTTATCTCCTTCTTGATGGCACTTTGAATCCCCAATGCAGTCATCATCTTTTGTGCACACGGCTTCATTGTACCCTTTGCACTGTTGATAGAAGCAATTGTCAACAGCACGGCACTGTCCAGATGCCGTTGGCTCCTCTTTCTCACCACAAATGTGTGGTTCTCTCCATGGTGACCTTGATTTACACTTCAAGTCCGCAGGGTTACAGAGCCTCGCTGCTTCTCCCATATGCTCGTCGATGTTGACAAGGCCACTTTCGACACTTCCATCCATGCTTGCTTCAGCAGCCTTATCAGAGAGCTCCTTCTTCATTTCTCCCACCGGATTTATTTCAGAACACGGGAATAGAAAGACAAAATTGCCATCAATCTTGGTTGACAAGAAATTGCCATTTATTCCTTTTGTGATGTTCTTGACACTTTCCTCAATGATTCGGCCTTCAGCTGGGATATCTGTCATAAACAAGTCATTCTTCAAAGAGGAATTGCCAAAAGCAGCAGAGCCCAAACAATATGGCTTGCCAAGTCTTGCTGATGCCCCAAGGTGCTTCCAACCAACGAATCCAGACTTGTTGTACAATTCAACTGCATAGTTTTCCCACTCTTTATCGGGGTTGTCTTGCCGGCCGTAAATTCTTTTGTCTTCTTGTTGGAAGCCACATGGTTTGAGCTTGGCAAATGGAACATCAATCTTGGTTTGATTTACGACCTCCACTTTCCAAGGAGTACCAGGTTGGGCACAGAACGGTACGGACCCATGACCAACAATGCACTCCTTCTTCCTAAAGATTCAACATGATCCATTCTGATTTGTGAGATTTGCAAATAAGCAACAGACACCAAGATGCTCATTATGGACATCAACCTTACAGTGCGTAAAACTCTTCCAAAGGTGCATCACAAGCCTCGCAAGCCCTCGAAATGAATGTGCCCGGAGAGATGGTTGTTTTTGTTTGTGTGGCCTCCCATCTGGCAAGAATCACTCAATGGTCAGACGACTGTCACCGGTTTCGGGCGATCACACAATGGCAAAATTGTCCTTACAGAGTCAGCTCATCAAAGTCAAAATTCGATTGGCTGTCCCACTGATACTTTGGATCCTTCACTGCCTCTACATACATAGTCTGAATACATCGGACAAGATCAGTGGAAGGCTCAGTGTCATCAATGGTCCAAACATGTCCCAGGCATGTGTACCCTGTCATTATGGAAGACATGATGAATTATTGAACAACAAGCAAAAAGGAATCAAATATGGAAAAGCTGATCTTCAAGTTTCCTTACCAGGAGGAGGAATCGGTCTCCAAAGAGAAGGCGGAGTGACAGTTGGGGCACTGGATGGAACAGTGGAGGGGTTACTTGTTGCATTTGTAGAATTGAGAGAAAAAGGAGATTCTGCGGGGAAGCTTGTTGGTGCTGTGGTGTTGGAACTTATTTCACCAAGGAGGTATCGTGCTGCATTATTGGGTGCCAGTGCTGGTGCTGCATTCAAATCAATGACCTCAATGTCACTGTACAACTCTTCGGTTCCGTCGGACTTGAAACCAAAGAAACGTCGTACGTCTGGTGTTGTGTCAGGAAGAGGCACATGAATAAACCTCGAGGCTTTGTTGGAGGGATCTCGGCCCGTTCCCATCTCAAACAAGAGTCCACCTGATTCCGCCAGAGAGCATACCCAAAAGTCCCTTGGTGTCCCATCCAGAAATGATGGTTTGTAGTTGGGTGAGCTGGTGTCTCTGTGGTGAATGACATTCAGAAATTTACCGTTTGAAATGAACCACGTTTCTCCTCCCGAATTTGTACCCAAATCAACCCACAACCAGTCCAAGGTAGGGTCTTGCACAGGATCGGCTCTAGATGACAAGCCAAAAGATTGGTTCATTTTAGCCTGTAGAGGCACACAACAGAAAATTGTCAAAAGAGAGTGAGAGAGTGTGAAACTGGTTTCTTTGATAAAGTAAAAATACTCAGCAAAGGAACTTACTGTCGTCTTGAATGCAACACACCCCATTGAACTATCCGAAAGTGGGTCCGGAAACATGTGGAACTTGTTGTCCGCAGCAGCCACTAGTGTGCTCTGCGCTGTTCCGGATTTACAAAGGATGTAGTTGGACTCGTAAGATTGCTTCATGTTTCCATCAAGACCCCAACTGGGATCCACTCCATTGATTGAATCTCGGTGAAGACTGCAAGTCGGAGCACCATTTGGATGGACCCCTACCTGGATCCAGGCATTGTGGTAATCTACCACAGGAGTCCATTCATCACCAATCGGTTTACCAAAGTAGGGATCATTGCTTGTACCCAAGGGACAAACATCAGCGCTGGAAGCAAGAGATCCTCCTTTAGCTATGCAGAACTGTTTCGCTTGGTCATAGGACTTGATATTGGAGGTTTCAGAGGGGCCATAAACATCCATCCTCGTGTTGCAAATTATGGGGTGTTTTTGGTGGACACCCCAGCTAGGAGCATGATTGAATACATCTCGATAAAGCTGGCATGTTATCCCTTGGCCGGCCGGATGAACTCCCACCTGTACCCATGCATTGATATCATCTGAGACAGGTGCCCATTGTTCGCCTGACTGAACTCCAAAATAAGGTTCAACTGCTTCAAACCAGTGCCAGAGATTGTTGGTGGAATCAACCAGCAGGAACTCTCTGGAATTGATAGCAGCAATGTTAAGACCCGACTTGCCCTGCACAGGGATGTCCCAAGTGGTAGCATAGGGTGTTGTAGAGGTGGACCTGCGGGCCAATCCGGGGTTTCCCTGGCCCTTTGGTGTTCCCGTTGTCCAGATTGTTCCATCATGGGTCATGGAAACATCGCCATTATTGCAGGCCCCAGTTCCATGCCAGTTGGAACCATCGTAAACCCACAGCTTGTCAGCTGGCGACGAATTACAAAGGGCAACTGCGCCATTACTGGAAACAGAAATGCGGTCGCCGCCACCTCCAGTTGTTTTCACAAAAGCAGCATCGGTGGGACGCTTACGCCAAACAGAACCATGATCTTGCCCAGCCACCAATTCTGTCATCCAAATAGTTCCGTCGTCGGTGATACTGATATCACGAGCTGGTGGGCTTGATACATGGTTCCAGCCATAAAGGATCCATTTGTTAATTTCTCCAGCCTTGTTCAGAACCACAATATGGTCTTTGCTACCAACAGAAACTTTGATGGAACATCCACCAATTTGTTGCCAGGAATCCCCACCAGTGTGACGGTAGATGGAATAGCAACCACCGTGATAGCCATGGTTATGCATTCCAATCTGCATGTAAGCAACAGGAGCAGGAAGATGAGGGACAATGAAGCAAAGCGGAGATTCCATCAAGCACACATACCACCCAAATGGTCCCATCATTGGCAGCACCAACATCCCTGACTTTGATCCCACCATATTTATGCCACATTTTTTTAGACGCATCAGGGGGGCAAATTTCAGCACTGGAAGCAAGATACCCTCCTTTTGTTTTGCAGAACTGGTGTGCTTGATCATAGGTTTTTACATTGGATGTTCTTTGTCCAAAAACAACCCTGTTAAAGTCACAGACAATGTAGTTTGGCTCTGAGGTCACACCCACTTTTTTGGTGCAAACGGGCGATTGGTCGTCACTTCCAATTTCAATCCAACCATTGTGATAGTCGTCAAAGGGGACAAAGTGACTTCCACCACTCAGGGATCCAAGCCTTGGCTCAATTTTGGGGGGAAGTTCATAGTGCCAAAGTCTGTTGCTAGCATCAACCAGCAGGAACTTGTCCGTACTCACAGCAGCAATGTTGAGACCAGGCCTTCGCTGTATAGGAGCTTCCCAAGTTGTAGCAGTTGCAGTGGAGGTAAGCGATCTGCGCGGTAGACCTGGACTTGCCTGGCCACTTCCAACTCCTGTTGTCCAGATTGTTCCATCACTGGCCATGCTAACATCTCCACAGGTTCCTGAGGGATACCAGTGGGAACCACCATAAACCCAAAGTAAATTCCCTGCTCCAGTGTTACAGAGGGCAACCACATCAGGGCCATAAGCAGCAATGCGGTCTCCATCTCCTCCAAAATGCCTAAATGCAACATCACTTGGAAGTTTTCGATAGACATCACCAGACTTATTTGCCGAGAGCTCTGTCATCCAAATAGTTCCATCCTTGGTGATACTAATGTCGCGTGCAGGAGGACTGTGGACAAATTGCCAACCATTTGAGGTCCATTTGTGGATGTGTCCCTGGAAGTCCAGACTCGCTATGTTTGTAGTGCTTCCAACTGAAATTCTGTGTGAACATCCACCTACTTCCTCCCAGGAATCCCCACCAGTGTGCCGATGGATTGCATAGCAGCCTTTGCCAGGATGGTAGTCGTGGGTACCAATCTGCATGTACACACATACATGGGAGCATCAAAGAGGGTCAGCCAATTCATCAAAACTATTAAGGCACTCTTTAGTATGTGCTTCACTTACTGCCCATATTGTACCATCCTCTGCAGCACCAACATCTCGAACACTAACGCCTTGGTACTTGAACCAACCATTGGGATGGGGAGAACAGAACACATAATTTCCCCATCCTTGATGACGACCTTGGCCGAGGATCTCTGGAACGTTTCCGCCATGCTTATAACAGGTAGGATGTCCCCCACTCCCCACATTTACCCATTGATTCTCGCGTTCGGAAATAGGTGCCCATTGATCATCAGCTGTCGACTGAATCCCAGTGACTGGTTTGGAGTTGGTACCACCATCAGGAGGACAAATATCCTTGATAGAGGCAAGGGTTCCACCATGGGCATTGCAGAAGTTTTGTGCTGTAGACCATCCGATGGCCAGGCTACTAGTTTCACTGGGCCCAAACATGTGGATCTCCCCCCACTCATTCCGCCAAAGTTCAGAACCATCTGAGGGACAAATATCAGAGCTCACTGGAAGTGAACCCCCCCTTGCAATACAAAAGTCCTGTGCTTGATCATAGCTCTGGACACCTGCGGTTTCAGGGGGTCCATACACAAAAATCTTTATGTTGCAAAGAATGTAGTTAGCCTCCCATGCTTTCTTCTCAATGGAATCGAGACCCCAATCAGGATCTCCATAGGTGTTCCTATAGGCACTGCAAGTAGAAACAACTGGATGTGATCCAACTTGGATCCACCCGTTGTGGTAGTCTGATACAGGTGTCCATTGCTCACCATCCTGAATTCCAAAGTAAGGCCAGCTTGAGCTAAAATTTGAGGTAGCAATGAACAAAGAATTTTGAGATCGGCGTTTGTGGTTGGATCGGAAACAAGAAAGTGTCTTACCTTTGGGAGGGACAAATGTCAGACATGGAAGCAAGTGTTCCTCCCTTCATTTCACAAAACTTCTGTGCTTGGTCATAGCCGTTAATAGATCCAGTTTCTCGTGGCCCAAAAACTTGAGTATTACCAGTGTTGGGAACTCGTAGACCTGGATTCTCATATCGCCATAATTTGTTGTCCGAATCAACCAATGCAAACTCTACAGCACTCATGGCAGCAATCTTCACACCAGAATGTCCTTGAATGGGATCGGCCCACTTGGTTGCTATGTTTGTTGAGATGGTAGACCTGCGGGCCAATCCAGCACTTGCTTGACCATTTTGGCCATCTCCCACTCCTGTTGTCCAGATGGTTCCATCAGCAGCTAAGCTGATGTCTCCATTATTGCAGACTCCAGTTGTATACCAGTGGGAACCTCCATGACTCCAAAGCCAATCTGTATTACAGAGGGCCACCTTGTCCGGCCCCGAAGCAGCGATTCGGTCTCCACCTCCACCATGATAGCGCTCAAAAGAATCATCTGATGGACGTTTGCGCCACACATCACCATGGTCTGTTCCATCTTTCAATTCTGTCAAGAAAATCGTTCCATCCTTAGTGATGGTTGCATCTCTTGCAGCGGGGCTTGGGATCAAATCCCAGCCTTGACCGCTCCACTTGAATAATTCGCCCTCCTCAGTTCGAACGATGATGTTTGCGCTGCTTCCAACTGAGATGCCAGTGGCACACCCTCTGATTTCCTCCCAGGTGTCTCCTTCTAGCTTTCGGTGGATGGAGTAACAACCATTCATTACGGTGTAGTTCGAAATCTGATCAGAACAGAAAACAGGGGAATGCTTGGTTAGATTTCGACACAAACACACAGAGACAATCAGACATGACATTCCATCAAAGGACTCACCACCCAGATTGTGCCATCATATGCAGCCCCGACATCTCGAACTGTCACCCCATCGTACTCATGCCACAGCGTTGGTTTGTTAATTGCTACTGATCCCGTGTTTTCTGTTCCATTGGTGGAGAGCAAGTCCGTGTTTGTTTCACCTGATCCACCACTGTACAGTTCTCCTCCCTCTGACTCTTGTGCGGATCCAATTGATGCATTGAAGATGTTCTGATAGTAGAGGGGTTTCTTCAGTGCAGAACGGCTTCCTTTCACCAATAGCGCCTTCTTTTGGTGGACCAAAACAGCTGTGCCATTCTCTGTTGTGTTAACTCTTCCATCCCAAACGATGTCACCAACAGAAAAGTATCCATTTCCAATCAAAGGTCTCATGATTTGAAGGTCATCAGTGCCATACATTTCTTCAAGATTGGCAGTGTACTTGACCTCCAGCGACCCTTCCTCTGGGTACATCTTGTAGTATGCCAGTTTGTAGGGAAAGTTGTAACCGTCTTCGGAGTAGGCACACAAATTCCTGTTTTTGCCATCGGGATATTTGTACCGAGCAATGCTTCGGCTTATTCTTCCGTGCAGGTGATGATCTGGAATGCTGAAGAGTTTGTTGATCTTTTCACGTCGCTCAAACACAGCCTTGGCCACACTAATGTCAGTATTTGTCGCCTCTCGGTGCTTGTGAAACCAAGAGGTACAGACAATGTAGTTGGATTCCCAATCTTTCTTGTCATCATTGGTGCCCCAATCCGGATCAACTCCACTGAGTGCATCTCTGTGGAAACCGCAAGTTTCGGCATCGCCTGGATGGGTGCCCACTTGGACCCACGCATTGTCATAGTCTGAGACTGGTGTCCACTGGTCCCCTGTCTGGATGTCAAAGTATGGCTTGTTTGAGCCATCTGGGGGGCAGACATCAGAGCTGGAGGCCAGGACGAGTTGCCTTGCAGCGCAAAATGTCTTGGCTTGTGCATACGACTTGACATCAGCAGTCACACTGGGTCCATAGACGAAAACCCCCTCCATCTTGCAAACAACATAGTCTGCTTCGCCTTCCAACTTGTCATCCGCTGCTCCCCACATTGGTCCTAACCCAATTCGTGGATCTCCATACTTTGTCCTGTGTCGTGAACACATATCAGCCACAGCATCGCCACCAACTTCAACCCAGCCATTGCGGTAGTCCCCAAATGGAGTCCAGTGGACGCCACCAGCAGCACCAAAGTATGGTCGTTTCACAAGAGGAAGTGGGCAGATTTCATCAAAAGAGGCAAGGGTCCCTCCCTTCAAATCACAGAAATGCTTGGCATCGTCATAATCAAGCACCTTGGACGTATCACTGGGCCCAAAAACAAACTTGTTCATGTTGCACAAAATGTAGTTGGATTCCCAGCTCTTCTTGTCATCCTTGATCCCCCAATCAGGATCAACTCCATTTTGTGTGTCTCGGTGAAAACTGCAAGTCGGGGCACCCCCTGGATGAGTCCCCACCTGAATCCATGCATTTTCGTAGTCAGCCGCTGGAATCCACTGATCACCAGGCTGAATACCAAAGTGGGGCTTGTCTGCCTCATAATGCCAGAGATTGAGATCAGAATCAATCAGAAGGAACTCTCTGGCGCTCACAGCAGCAATGTTCCCGCCATCATCAATGATCACACCAGAGTGGCCTTGGACAGGAGGACTCCAGGAAGTGTGTTTGTCTGTAAAAGCTGTTGATCTTCGAGGCAAACCAGGACGAGTTTGGCCAGTGCCAACCCCAGTTGTCCAGATGGTACCATCAGATGCAACACTTATATCGCCATGATCACAGGTTCCAGTGACATACCAGTGGGTACCACCATGGCTCCAGAGATGATTTTGATTTGTAGATGTGGTACAAAGTACAGCACTTCCATTGCTTGTACCAGAGATGCGATCTCCTGCTCCAACCAACTTCACAAACTCAGTATCTGTTGGCGTCCTGCGATAGACATCACCATGATCTTGCCCAGCCACCAATTCTGTCATCCAAATAGTTCCATCTTTGGTGATACTGGCATCCCGAGCAGGAGGAGAGGTGATCAAACTCCAACCATTGGGTGTCCATTTGATAACTTCTCCGAGTTTATTCACAACCTTTGAAACAATGACATTGGAAGAAATTCAACAATGCATATATGAGAGCGGTCACCAAATGTAAAACCAAAGACTTCAGTCTACTGTATTCTCACGACAATGTTGGTGCTGCTCCCGACTGAAATTTTGTTGGCACATCCGTCAATTTGCTCCCAGGAATCCCCACCAATGTGACGGTAGATGGAATAGCAACCACCAACATGATGGCCTTCGTCATGTGTTCCAATCTGCATACAAGTAACAGGGGAAGGAAGATGAGGGACAAGGAAGCAAAGCTGAGATTCCCTCACTAGATCAAGTATGGTATATATCAAACACGCGTACCACCCAAATGGTTCCATCATCTGCAGCGCCAACATCTCGAGCCTTGATATTGTGCTTGCTCCAATTATCGATAGTTGGGCATATGTCTGTGCTGGAGGCAAGGGATCCTCCTTTGGATTGGCAGAATTCCTTTGCTTGATTGTAGGTTTTTACATTGGACGTCTGGCTAGGTCCGAACAGTGGTGTCGTCCCTGCTTGGCTAGGCATGATTGGGACCTTGTACTGCCAGAGAGTCCCAGCAGCATCAACCATCACAAACATGTCAGCGTGTACACCAGCAATTTTGGTACCAGACTTGCCCTGCACAGGCTGGTCCCAAGTAGTAGCTGATGCACTCATGGAAATCGACCTACGGGGTAATCCAGGGCTTGACTGACCACTGGCAACTCCGGTTGTCCAGATGGTTCCATCGGCAGCAACACTTATATCCCCATTGTCGCAGGTTCCTGTTTGATACCAGTGGGAACTGCCATAGCTCCAGAGCTTGTTGTCATCAATTGTGTTGCAGATAGCAAGTTGGTCAGGTCCTGAAGCATCAATGCGATCACCACTGCCCCCAAACAAAACAAAGTCATTATCTGTTGGAGCCTTGCGATAGACATCGCCAATGACCTGTCCGGACACCAATTCCGTCATAAATATAGTGCCATCCTTGGTGATACTTGCATCTCTGGCAGGAGGGCTCGAGATCAATGTCCAGCCATGCCCAGTCCATTGGTGAATTTCCCCATCAGTGGTGGTCACCTGACAATGAATAAAACAATGCATAAATGAGACAGAGGTCACAAAATTTGAAAAAGCCATTGACAGACTTCATTCAGTCAACTGTGTTCTCACAATGATATTTGTGCGGCTGCCAACTGAAATGCCATTCGCGCATCCTCTGACTTCTTCCCAAGTGTTACCTCCAACATAGCGATGAATACTGTAACAGTCAGGCATTACTTCGTAGTTTGAAATCTGACTCAAACAGGTCATGGAAGGAAGAAGAAATGGGGGATCAAATTTGGTGAGTTGGAAAAGAACTCATTTCCACCAGAACGACAAGCAACGCCAACGCTTGTCAGCTTTATAGTTAAAGAACAAACGTACCACCCAAATAGTATCATCCTCTGCGGCATCAACATCTCGAACAGTTTGTTCCACATCATTAACCTGGATTCCGCTGAACTTGTACCAATTGCTTGGGGCACAATACACATAGTTCCCCCAGCCCAAATCATGACCATGGCCAGTGCTTCCACCGTCTTTGGTACAACTGGTGTACTGAGTACTATGTCCAACATTCACCCATTGTCCATCTTCATCTCCAATCGGAGCCCATTGATCAGCTTCTGAGGATTGAATCCCATTCACAGGCTCAGCATCAGTCGTCCCAGTCGGGCAAATTTGTGCTAGAGAGGCCAAAACTCCTCCATGAGAATTGCAGAAGTCTTCAGCAGATTGCCATCCTCCATCCAGCACATGTGTTTGCTGAGGTCCAAACATTTTGATGCTCCCCCAATCTGATTGCCACCGTTGCTCTGAAATTGACCGTAATGTGTGCAAAGGTTGAGCTCATCATCATAGTAACAGTTTATCAGTGCAATGTGAGTGTGACAGCTTGACAAGTGGAACTTACCCACAGTGGAAGCAAAAGCGGCAATAGTTGGAGCCATGGTTGGATAATCAGAGGGCACACCAGAAGGAGCCAATGATGGGCTGGATGAGGGCGGACTAGATGGATTTGAGCTTGGTTGTGAACTTGGAGGAGTAGATGGATATAAGCTTGGTTGTGAACTGGGAACAGAACTCAAACTTGGGACCAGGGACGGCATGTCAGAGGGAGATAATGATGGCACCCCACTAGGCAAAGATGATGGGGCCAAAGATGGGGCAGAAGAAACAGTCGGTGCAACTGTTGGTGATGGTGTTGTGAAATCATCGTCAGAGGAAGGTATCCGATACTGCCAGAGATTATAGCTAGAATCAATCAGTAGAAACTCGTTTCTGTTCACAGCAGCAATGTTTTTTCCAGACCTGTCTTGTGCTGGGATGTCCCAAGTGGTAGCATGGGTTGTTGTAGAGCTGGACCTTCGAGCCAAGCCAGTGTTTGTTGTCCAGATGATTCCATCATCGCCAATGGAAACATCGCCACTATTGCATTTTCCAGCAATGTACCAGTGAGAACCACCATGAACCCACAAGAGGTTTTGATTTGCATTTGAAGTACAGAGGGTGACTTTGCCATTACTTGTACCTGAAATGCGGTCGCCAGCACCTCCAAACCTCACAAACTCAGGATCAGTGGGACGCTTGCGATAGACAACACCTTCATCTTGCCCAGCCACCAATTCTGTCATCCAAATAGTTCCGTCGTCGGTGATACTGATATCACGAGCTGGAGGGCTTGGTACATAGTTCCAGCCATTGGAGGTCCATTTGTTAATTTCTCCAGCCTTGTTCAGAACCACAATATGGTCTTTGCTACCAACAGAAACTTTGATGGAACATCCACCAATTTGTTGCCAGGAATCCCTGCGCTCGTAAGGGTAGTGTCGGTAGATGGAATAGCAACCACCGTGATAGCCATGGTCATGCATTCCAATCTGCATGTAAGCAAACAGGAGCAGGACGATGAGGGATAAGAAACAAAGTGAAACATTGCCTGATCAGTAGTAATGAGCACACGTACCACCCAGATGGTTCCATCATCTGCAGCACCAACGTCCCGAGCTTTCAATCCATTGAACTTGAACCAACGACTGGAGCAAACAAGGTAGTTCGAAGCAGGAGCCCATGTTCCAGTCAAACCCCAACCAGGACCCGAATTAATTTGACAAGTTGGCATGCCCAAAGGATGAGTTCCCACCTGGATCCATGCATTGTGGTGGTCAGAGACAGGGGTCCACTGATCCCCCACCTGGACTCCAAAATATGGCAGGGTACGTGCCCCTGAGGGACAGACATCAGCACTGGAAGCAAGGGATCCTCCTTTTGCCTTGCAGAAGGCTTGAGCATTGTCATAGGTGTTAACAGCAACTCCCTTGTCTTTGCCAAACAAGACTCTGTTCGAGGCACAAATGACAAAATTGGACTCCCAGGTTTCCTTGTGATTTCCATCAACCCCCCAATTGGGATCCACTCCCCCATGAGTATCTCTATAGTCACTGCATGTTGGAATACCCGAAGGTTCGACTCCCACCTGGACCCAGGCATTGATGTAATTAAAAACTGGAGTCCACTGATCTCCCTCCTGAGTACCAAAATAGGGTACGGTAGAGCTGAGAGGGCAGATGTCCGATTTGGAAGCAAGAGTTCCTCCTCTAGCATTGCAAAAGGCAAGTGCTTGGTCATAGGACTTGATATTGGTGGTGTAACTGGGTCCATAGATGGCGGTTCGCATGTTGCAAATAATGTAGTTGGACTCATAGGTTTCCTTCACATTCCCATCAAGACCCCAAGCAGGGTCATGGAGTGTGTCTCGAATAAACGAACATGTGGGAGCATCGCCTGGATGGGTCCCCACTTGGACCCATGCATTGTGGTAATCCGAAGCTGGAGCCCAGTGATCTCCGGACTGGATTCCAAAGTAGGGTTGCCCAGATCCATCTGAGGGGCACATATCAGCTCCAGACGCAAGCGATCCTCCCTGCGATTCACAGAATTCTTTTGCTTGATCATAGCTCTTTACATCGCTCGTGTCAGCTGGACCAAACACTCGAGTGAGTCCGGTTGCTTCTCTCTCGGCTGGGATCTCGTACCTCCAAAGAAAAGAATGCTCATCCACCATATAGACCTGGTTGGCACTGACCGACGAAATGCTCGTGCCAGTTGGACCTGGAATGGGACTTGCCCACTTGGTGGAATGGGACAATACTTTCGTTGATTTGCGGATCAGTCCAGGGTTTCCTTGGCCGGCGGGGACACCGGTTGTCCAGATGATTCCATCATGGGTCATGGAAACATCGCCATTATTGCAGGCCCCAGTTCCATGCCAGTTGGAACCATCGTAAACCCACAGCTTGTCAGTTGGCGACGAATTACAAAGGGCAACTGCGCCATTACTGGAAACAGAAATGCGGTCGCCGCCACCTCCAGTTGTTTTCACAAAAGCAGCATCGGTGGGAAGCTTACGCCAAACAGAACCATGATCTTGCCCAGCCACCAATTCTGTCATCCAAATAGTTCCATCCTTGGTGATACTGATATCACGAGCTGGTGGGCTTGGTACATGCTCCCAACCATTAGGGGTCCATTTGTTGATTTCTCCAGCTCGGTTCAGCTGACATTTAAAAATGTCATTTAAAGAAGTACAACAATGCACATGAGGCAGAGGTCACCAAGCAAATGTAAAACAATACAAAAAGTTCAGTCAATATTCTTCTCACGATAATAATGTTATCACTGCTTCCAACTGAAATTCTGTGCGCACATCCACCTACGGTCGCCCATGAATCTCCTCCTGTGTTGCGACGGATATAGTGACAGCCATTGCCATAATCACCTAGGTCAATCTGCCCCACCATGAATGAGATTGAGAGAGGGGGGAGGGGGGAGAGAGAGGGAGAGAGAGAGAGTTAGACATGAGAGAGTGAGGGGTGGTTAATGATACAATGAAGAAAAGACGGGGAGCCATGTAGGCATTAATTATCAAGGCATGATGGAAGAATCAAACTTACCACCCAAAGGGTGCCATCTTCAGCAGCGCCAACATCTCTGGCCTGGATGCGTACAAACCTGAACCAATTTTTTCTACAGATAATGTAGTTGCCAAATCCACGTTCATGTGTTATTAGTGTAAGTGGTATTCCAAAAACATCAAATTTTTCACATGCAGGGGTTCCACCACCACTTCCAACATTGACCCAATGAGTAATCTGATTAAAGCCAGCCATGACAGGAACCCACTGAGGACTACCCGCATCCTACAGGTGTTCCAAAGGGAGGGAAGGAGAGACAGAAAAATGAGAGTGACATCAGGCGGCAGGGGGGGGAGGGGGGTAGTGATACAATAAAAAAGGCCCAAGAGCCATGGAGGGCAGGCATTAACTAAGGCATGATGCATGTTTCGATCATACCTGAATTCCAAAGAGGGGTGTCCTACTGGTTGTGCCATCTGGAGGGCAAATTTCGTTGATAGTAGCGAGAGATCCGCCTTGTTCCTTGCAAAAGTTTTCGGATTCAAAGAATCCAACGTTGAGGTTAGCGGTGTCTCTAGGTCCATACATGCGTGTGTTTCCAATCAACCAGTCCGTAGTTTCATCCAACCTTCGGCCATGTCGGTGGGCACTAATGTCATCAATATCTCCTTGTTCATTGCTGATTTCTCCATCATCGTCTTCTTTGGCATTGTTGGCATCGACTTGCTTGTCTAAAGACGCCATCGAATTCATGGCCTCCAATCGGGGCTCCTTAATGTCATCATGATGGGGGCTCTGTTGGTCATTCTCGTCTTTGGAATCCATGGTGGGAAGCAAATGTGAAAGTGAATCGGTGCTGGTATCGGCCATGACGACGATTTGGTCGGGGTTCGTGTCATTCTGTGGCATTTTGTGGTTGGAAGGGATGAACAGGGCAGTGTGATGGGTTTGATCTTGTTTGGTCGTGTGGGACTTCTCATTGTATTGGTCATCGTCTTGGCCAAGGGCATCGACCAGCAACTGGATGTCCTCCTTAAGACCAAGGGAAACAATAGGGTCAGGGAAAGTAGCGTGGCTTCCGCTACTCCCAGAGGTGGTCTCAGTAGCCATTTTGTCCTTGAGATCTTGTTCGTCACTGAGAGGTGCCTTGGCAGCGTTGACGACAACTGGTTCATCTTTGAGGTGGTCCTCGGGGACTTTGGGAAGACTGAGATCGAGATCAGAATCATAGATGGCGTTGGCGTCCAAGTCGGAATCATAGAGGTCTTCCAATGCCTCGGCAACCAAGTCTTCGCGATCAGCAGTGGTACCGGTAGAACCAGTCCCAGAGGGTACAGGAAGGACATCTTGAGCCTTGGTAAGACTCTCTGTCGAGAGAGAGAGTCCGAGCAGAAGGGCCAGGAACGCCTTCATCTTGATCTTCATCTTGAGGATTTCTTTTTCTTTTTCTGGTTTTTCTTTTTTCTGGTTTTTCTTTTTTCTGGTTTTTGTATTGGGTCCTCTTTTCTATGAGTCGATCAAGACTTCCTTGGAGATCTCGACCAACAAACAAGGGCAACGGCAACGGCAATGGCAACGGCAACGGCAACGTTAACAACGGGAATGTGTCTTATCAGGCACCCTCAGCTCAAGGGTACGGTGTCTTCTTTCTTCAGCAATGGCAATGCAGGCAAAAGGTACTCTAAGCTCAAGGCTGCGGTGTCTTTCTTCTTCTGTTGATTGTTTGCTCGGCAACAACAAAAGAGTGGCAACTCCATGCAATCGATCGATCTTTTGGACGTAAAACCACTACGTCCAGAGACATTTAGCCCATGGGGTAATCTTGTGGATGGTTATTTGACTCGACTCATCTTTGTCACTAGTCCCGAGCCCGAAGCCGATCTTTCTCTGTATTATCTACTACTGCTAGCTACAGGTATATTCTAGCTGGTCTTTGCAGTCTTCTTTCGTCGACGGTCACATTACTCTGTCAATGGTCCCACATCTTAGCGTCATTATATAAAAAGCAAGGACAATGCCAGTGTATATTTTAACGCTCGACCTCCCATTTTCCATGAAGCTCGACGGTGAATGGCGCAAATGGATACCGGTACTGGAGTACTGGATACCGGTACAGCATACACAGCATGGGGTCACAATGGACAAGGGATCTGGACACGGAATGATTCAATTGCGTTGGACAAGGGATCTGTCTCTGTCAGCGGTCCCACAACCCATATCATCTTCCCGTCTCCCAACAGGTATTGGTATCGTGTGGTTGCAACACGTGCAATGGACAATAATTGCCTGCCTTGCGTTCCTGCGTCGTGCCCCCCTTGACCTCTGTCTCCGTCCTCCTCTTAGCTCTCTCTAATCCATAGTAAACCCGATTCATAATATACAATGGAGCTCAAGGGTCTGGACAAGGTGGCCGTTGGCCAATCTGTCTCGGTCAGTGGTCCCACACCTTCCTGTGCACAAAACGGTCCCTTGATGCGTTCCCAGTTCTCAGTACGGTTCAGAAGTGTCACTGGTATTTTGGACTTCAGAGAAGTCTTTTACTTACTCAACTACCACTGTACTTATGGAATTTTCTACTGAGTAAGCCCAGCTCGCTCTTAATTAAATGGCCTCTCACAAGGAGTGCAGTGGCAGTGCAGTGGGCGATGGATGTACATGCAACAGACTAATTTCCTCCAGAGAAAGAGTCACTTTTCTTACAGAACCCGGTCTCAGCACCCTTCTTGAATGTTCCCAAACATTTTCCACTTTCCACGGTCCGAAAATGGCTCTCCACTCTCCAATGCGAAGGGCGGACGGTCCAGCCGCCACAAAGTTTGGTTGGGGAAGAGGAAGCGGAGACTATAGTCGAGTGAAGTCAATTGTCAACCTACGGCTGAGTACATGTAGTGGTTTGGAGGCGTCGGAAACTGGTCAAGCCTTCACGAGGATCGCTGGAGTAGTACTGGCCGTGACACATGGGTTTGTCGCCAATTCGGCTGCCTGCGTTGGAGAGTAATGATGGGCAGCTTACGTCATCGTACATGTCGATGGTGCCGGCGTCAGCAACGACCTTACCCTAAAACCCACATTCTAAGCGTGCTCCTCCCACGGTCGGAAGATGGTTCTCTCGTGCTTTGCTTCGGTGAGCGGTTGACTGCATGGCGTGTCGTGAAATTCGCTTCGTCGTCGTGTCGTACCGTACCGTACCGTACCGTACCGTAGCCTCGAGTCAGAATGATGAATCCAATGGTGGTTTTGGTGTGCTATCGGTACGGTGGAGAAGAGAGTGGATTACTACTGGTAGCCCAGCGGCTTGTCTTCTCCATCGGAATCGTACGGTACCTAGTCAATCCATTGGTATCATACTACTAGTAGAAGGTACCGGTACGTTCTTTGCCTCATTTGTCTATACCGTACAGTGCGGTACATGTACCGGTACATGTACCGGTAGGTGGCCCGCGACGTCGAGAAACGGTACTTTTGTGGGCCAGCCAACCGTGCCCTTTCGATACCGGTCGTACGGACTGGTACGTGTAGCTACATGTACATGTAGCTCGTACATACATCATATAGATCACACAATGCTGCCAGCAAGCAATAGTCGTGTCTGAAATAATGAGCATGGCTTGGCTCCTTTGGGAACGAGTTCCGTGTTCGTTCCGGCAGGGCCCTACCAGCTCGGCTTCGAAGTGGCGAGTGACGAGTCGAGTCAGTACCGCAGAGCTCGAGGAGCCCGCAGGCCGAACATCAATGGACACAATGTCAACACGGCTCCCTACGCCAATGTACCAAAGACAGACCAAAGACGAGAGAGGGGGCATCCTTGGCAGGGCTGTCACTCCCCTCCACGCGAGATTTGCATTTCCAAAACGGGCGAAGCAATCCTGCGGTTTCGGGGCAGGCAATGTGATTCTGCGGTGCACGATGCAGTACGACTGTACCGGTACTATTTGGTATGGCCGTACTGTGCTAAACAGAATATTATAGCTAGTCCACCTTGATCCTCCCTTCGCTCCTCTTCAATTACATGTAGGTATCACTCACAAGGTGTACATGTAGCTACCGGTACATACAGTTTACACATGTATTCACTGACAAAATTCCTCCTCCTCTTCATTTTCAATTCCTAAAACTCAAGGCATCAATGCCTCAAGCGGAAACATCGTTGATTGGTTGACCCACCAATGGCTTTTCGATTCCGGCATCACCGATCTCTACCATCTCCGCACCATTCTCTTCTTCTTCCATCTGTTTCAATGGCTTCACCTCCTCGGCCTCTATGTCGCTTCCATTCAATTGCTTCGAGGTACGTGTACCGGTACCGTCGGGATGCTGACCCGGTTCTATTTCCGTGTCGTCTTCATCGTCACTGGGAAGGATGAGGTTCAAAATTAAGGCAACAATAGAACCAATCGCGTAACCGTTGGTCAAAGTAATCACGGCAGCATCACAAAGACCCTGGACGCCATTGCTCTCGATGGCATTGCAGTCCAAAAAGCTGGACGTGAACCACTGGGGGACAACAATCGTTCCCAATCCCAGCGAAGCAGCACAAGCGAGAATGAACCGTTCCCGACGGTCAATCTTTTCGCTGGTCATGACCTTTATTCCACTAATGGTCATGTTAGCAAATAGAAATGTGGTCATTCCACCCAAAACAGGCTGTGGGATGCTGGTAAAGAAGGCTCCGACCTTGCCAAATACCCCGTACATGAACATGAAAATACCACACCCCAATCCTGCGGAACGAGCAGCGACCTTGGTAATAGCAATGATGCCAATGTTCTGCGAGAGTGTGGTGGAAGGTGGGATCATGGCCAAGGCGGAAAGGAATGAGTTCAAGGCATCCCCGAGCAATCCACCCTGAATGGCTTCGTCCATCTCGATTGTGCGTGGTTTGAGTCCTGAAGCAGCAGCGGTAGCGGACGTGTCGCCATAAGTTTCAATGCTGGACACCAAGAACCCGATGAGCACTGGTATAACCGCAGGAGGGTAAAAGCCAATGGGGAATGTCTTGGTCCAAAGAAAGAGCACGACGGGAGCCTCTTGTATTGCGTCGCGGTTAGTGTATCCATCGCCATTGCGGTCCGTTGTAATGGCGGCAATCAAGTATCCAAAGAGCAAGGCAATAGCAAAGGAGCAACTGCGCATAAAGACGCTCCCGAACAATTCAATGATAACAATGGTGCACATGACGAGAAAGCCAAGGCCAATGTACTCGGCGGATCCATAGGGTAAGTTTGAGTCTCCCACTTGCACGCACGGGCCGCCCATGTTGCCGTAGCAAACTGCGCCGCCTCCCCATGCCTGGACTCCAACTCTGCACATACATGTACATGCAGGCACGGTGTGATGAGTACATGCATGTATTATGTCATAGATGTCATAGTCATACTGAGTACTAGTACACGTACACGTAACTCACCCAATCAAAGAGACCCCAATCAAGAAAACGGCAAGGCCTGAAATCCAAGGCGGCAAGATCCTTTGCAGCGTGGGACCGGGAATGAATCCAATGGCCGATTGGCAAACAGCTCCCAATAAAAAGGTTCCCAATAGGTTTCCGTAGGCCGTATCAAAGTCTACGCCTCGGTCCATTTGATTGGTGATGGACTGAAGCACCGTGCCGAGAAAGGCAAAGGAGGTGGCAATGACACAGAGCAGACCGGAACCCACGTAGTACTTGGTCCTGGGAATGGGAGTATGAAGGACTTGTATCCAGGTGCAAATGCCGCTCATAATCAACGAGTAGGAGACAATGTAGGACCCTGCTTCGCCGGAGGGATCCAAGTTTCCAATAATGGTTCCGGGGGTAATAGCACCCCCAATCACGGCCAGTGAGTGCTGAAATCCCAGCAGCCCAGCCACCAAAAAGGGCAAGTTGGCATCCCTTCCATAAAAGGGCATTTGCACTTGTCCTGCCTTGCTGTACGGATTCAAGCGAGGCTTGCAAAACAAGCCGTACTTGTAGTCTCCAATCCAGCGTTCGTGGCAGGAGGGTACATGACGTTCTTCCAATTGAGTCTGGAGCTCGGCCTCTCGTTCTTCGACCCCCGCAGTATCGGGAGGCTTGGGAGTGTTCATGGTGTCCTCCAACGAGGCGACAGCGACTTCCACTGTCGAATCGGGCATGGTTATAACTATAACTTACTTCACTTGAAAACAAAACCTTTACAGAAGGATGAACGAAACAAAACAAAAGCAAAACAAAACAATAATGAAGCAATAATGAAGCAAGGAACTCATGCAATCAATTTGCTTCCGCACGGTTTGAGACAAGCAAAGCCAGTGCCATGTACATGTGGCTGCAAGTTCCAATTAATTTTGAAAGTTCCCATGGATCCCAGAGAGCTTGACGCAAGGTCTACTGCAAGGCAAAGCATAGAATAGAATACTACCCTGTAGTACACTCTCAGGAATTGTACTGTATCCGCCAAGAAGAATAAAATTAATGAGCAGGATGCTGCATGTACAGTATTAATACTAGCTAGCTAGCTACGGTAGTATTGACGTGTCTGAATGATGCCGGGCTTCAGCAGCGTACTATTGAATGAAGAAGCAAGGGATACACTTGACTTCTTGCTCAGATCAACAGACAGCTACTAGCTAGCTAGCTAGGATGAACCTCTGATCTCTGATCTTCCGCCCAGTGCATTTGGATCTTTCAGCAGTTCGTGAAATGACGATTTGTAGTGCCGGTCTTCAGATCGGAGGTAGGGTCTAGACTAGCTAGCTAGTCTAGGAAGTGGAAAGATGAAAGATCCTTTCGCGCAACCGGGACTTGCATCATCAAATTTTGACTTACATGTACAATCAAAAACTGTACTAATAGTAGTCTAGTAGTAGCTCTGGCTAGCTAGCTAGCTAGCTATTAAAATAGCTTCGCTTGGCCTCCAGTTACAAACAGACAAATACAAGGGCAAGTGACACCGGGGGGAGAGCAGAACAGCCACTTCAATGTGGTCCTTTGCTTAAGCCTGGCCCCGGCTGGCTTTTGTAGATAATTTACCTACTCTAAACCCCCTTGTACGTGTAATAGAGTTCTATTTTAAGGCTACTCTGAGTACGACTGTCCACCGTGCCGCTACCCTAAACCGATAACCCCCTCAGCCGAACGCAACCTTATTGCGCACGGCCCCGGCTAAAACCCCATTCATTTCTTCAATTTACGAGTAGTCTAAATACACGCGGGCGATTGGTGAAGAGCCGAGTGTTATTTTTAAAAAATATGAGCCAATAGAGCTGAGAGAACCACGATAGCGGAAGCGAGTTAAGGTCCTTGGCAGGCCAGGGCAGCACGAAAGGCGACGATCTCCACAGCAAAGCACACAAGATATCCCACGAATTGCCTGTTTTATAATTATTCTTATTATTCATTGTTGCTGTGGTTCCTATGAGTATGGTGTTTTTACCTTGCTGCTTCTATGAAATGAATCGAAATGAATTGAAATGAATTGAATCGGATCAAATCTATCGCACTCACTCAGACCTCCATTTCCTTCATGGTCTGAACATTTTCGAGTACATTCTTGATGAACTGTCCAATGACCCGCGTGCGGTTAGTGACATCCTGCAGATTGATTTTGTGTCGCTGTTTGATTTCTGTGATTTTGGACAATCCCTCTGTCAATCCTTCGAGAATTCCCTGATGATGTTCGAATGTTTCTTTCTGTCGTTTCAAGGACTCGTTTGCTTGCGGCCCAAAGTGGTAGTAGGCAAATACGTACGAGTACTTGAGTACCCGACGACACTGCACGAGTTGTTGATTGGCATCTTTGAGGAGCGAGGGGAGACGGACATCTACCGGCGGAGCTTCTTCTTCCTCATCTTCGGTTTCCTCCACGTCCATCTTGTCCGACTTGGTGGAATCCGTGGTAGTGGTAGAGTCCGTTTTGGTTTTGGTTTTGGTTTTGGTTTTCTTCTTCTTCTTTTTGTGACTGGAGTGGGTAGTTCCATTGGCATCCTGCAATTCTTGCTTGATCAATTTGTTGAGTTGTTTTTGTGCGAACGTTTGAGCCTTGTTGTGTCCATGATAGCGTTCATAGTAGTGCAAGTATCGTTCGAGTTCATTCTTTGCCTTGGCGACATCGTCTTCGGCAGCAGGAGATGCCTGATAGGCATTGCACTGCCAGACGTGATGTGTTCCCTTGCACATCCAACAAAATCCCTTTTTGCATTTCTGGCATGTCACGTACATGCATCCTCCATCCTTGTGAATGCGGGAGTTGCAGTGAGGACAATTCTTGGTGTTGGCTAGAATCCAGTTGGATGTTTCGGATTCATTGGAATTCTTGGCCTTCCAGCGTTGCAGAGTTTGACAGGAGATCATGGCATGTGGTTCACATACGGCGTCGTCCGTATCGGAAGGAGGACATGCCATGCAGAACTGCGTGTTGCAAGATTTGCAGTGCACATCAGCGGCTTCTTCTAGAACGTGTGGAGCCACCGCCTTGGCAATACAGTCGCAGGCTTTTCCGGGACACCACTTGAGTAGGGGATTGGACTCGACAAATGACTGGAGTTGGTAGTGCTGGAACTTGTCGAGCAAGAGAGGCGCCGCTGTCTGAACTTCCGTGTGGGAAATGACTTCCTGACAACCCTGCTGGGGACAAGTAGAAGAGACAAAGGAAGGACCTTCACAATTGGCCAGGTTGACTAGATAGTCTTGCCAGCAGTCCAAGCAGAACACGTGACCACAGGGCATGCTCATGCTGTTGGCGGGTGTGAGAGAGTCCATGCAGATCAGACAATCTTCCGTGTCATTGTCATTGGTCTGAGTCCCAGTGTGACCCGTGTGACCAGTCCCACATCGATGCTTGACTCCAGCGAGCGCGAGGACTTGGTCGGGTTTATCCGAGTAGCTCTGTAGTAAATGCTGGAGATTGTACTGGTGATGGCGTAGCAAAGGAGCTGCCGCTTCAGTAGGAACCCCCAGTGCTTCAACGCAGTCTTGGACTTGACGATCCAACGACGCCATGAGCTGAACGGCTGAAATCATCGAAATCGGAGCCACGCTCTGCGGAAATGAAAAATTGGTCGCACATTTGCTCTCACTGTTGTTGGAGATATCGTGGTGACAGTCTTGTTGTTCCTCGTTGTCGTCGTCGTCGTCGTTGTCGCTATAGTCGTATTCATACTCATACTCTTCTTCTTCCTCTTCGTCTGTCATCTCGTTCGTCGTGCTAGTCATGGAGGCGATCATGCTCTGCTCGTCCGCGTCCATGTTTGACTTGACTTGTGGATGTATTTTATTAATTAAAATAGTAATTATTTTATTTTACACGGCGAAAGTTAGTTGTGAAGCGCCAAAAGATCGTCTTTCAGAAAAAAAGCCTGACTGACTTTTAGTAACGAATGAACAGAATGGGATCCACGATTCTCCAAACGTGGAAAAAATCCACGATACAAGCAAAAAATTAATGTAACCAGATGATGCCATGTACAGTACCTTTGAATAGATACTAGCTAGCTAGTACCGTAGCACGCTTGCTCCAGTCTACAACCATACCGGTACCGGTACCGCTAGCGAAGACAGACGTGATGGGCATCCTTCCCATGGTCTCCTTCTCGAGCTAATACAGTACCAGTACCGGTAGTACGGTACCAGCTATCTCTTTTATAGTGTTTTTAAATCACATGTATCTTGGTTTCTTGGTGTTGTCAATTTAGTTAGTAGAGTGCAATGCATGCACAAAGGGGGAAATGACAGCCAGCCAGACAGCCATAGATTGATTGAATAAATAAAGTCACAGCACACAACGATAATACATGTATTGTAGTAATCCCAAGTCGTTCGTTCCAGTCCAAAGAGGATGCATTTTCCGTCTGCCAAGAGCAAAAAAGAGAAGCAACCAAACAGCCTGTCTGCATCACAGGCACCCGTACCATGCAAGCCATACACAGCCAGTTTTTGTTGCGTCGTTGTTCCAAACCCAAAAATCCAGCCCGTTTTGTCAAGCAAACAACAGTCGCCACCACGCAGCAGCACTCTTGCCTTGCAGTAATTACTCTCATAATAATTAATGAGAACCACGAGCGGCCCTCGATCGACTGGTAGAGCGACCACTCGCCGTGGTGGTGGTCGAAGAATCCACGCGATCGGCTGCCGTCTTGCGAGGACGACCGCCACCGCCTCGGGGAGTCGTACTGCGGGTACCGGGTCCCACCAATTTCTCGTTCTCCGTCTTGGCTTCTTGGAGACACTTGCCGAGCAAATGGACCAAAAAGCTGGCAGATCGACCCTGAACCATGGCATCGGAAGCATCCAATTCTTTCCATGTTTTCGCCAATGCCGTAGCGCAGCGTTGTTGAAGCGACGAGAGTTCCTTGCTACTGTCACTACCAGCAGCACTGCGGGCATGCAAGTCATCATCGAGTTGACACAATGCCAATGCCGCATCGGGGTCGACCTTTCGAATCTTGGATTCGTCCGTGAGATCGACAAACATGGCTGCCGTCAATGTATCCTTGTTGGCCGCACCAAATTCGGAAATCAACTTGGACAAGTGCAAATCCGTGGCAAAATTGGAGGATGCCACCAACACATGTTCGAGTGCCTGTTTCCAGAGTGCGGCGTTGGTCTGACGCCGGACAAAGTTGGACGTGGCAGAAATCTCGGTAACGTTCTTTCCGACAAACTGCACCACGAGATCCATGACGGCGGAATCATCGAATAGTTTGGCTTGAGCATAGTATGTTTCGATATTGCTCAAACTAAGATCCGATTGACAGAATTCTTTGGCGTAATGCTGAAGATGCGTCATTTCCAACTTGATTCCGAGATGATGCAATGCGACGGCCGTTTCGGTTTCAATCTGGAGGGGCGAGCGAGGATCATAAAGGAAATCCAAAACATCGGGGAATGCCTTTGCCGCAAGAGGTTCCAGTTCGAGTTTGCTTTTGGTTCCCGATTTGGCTTCTTGAAAGATCCGGCCAAAGTACTCGGATCGACGACTTCCAAAACCGAGAAAGTAGCGATGCACGTTGTAGGTATCGGTACGAGTCTTGATCTCAACGACAGCCTTGGCAGCGGGAGTCTTGAGATCGTCTGACGATTTCGCCTCTGCCTTTTTGGTTGGATGAGGCGAAGGGGAAATCATGCTGCCCTTGGTGACGGGTGCAGGAGTCGCCGTGGTACTGGCAGCAACATCGGGAGCCGGTGCGGGACTAGCACTGATAGCACTAACCTTAGTGTCGATTGCAGGAGCTTCTCCTTCCGACACAACTTGAATGGTCCAATCGCTAAAGGTAACTTTTGGATCCGCACGCCATTTCAATTGACCTTGTTCGTCTTCGGGCAACAACTCGTAATCCGAGACTCGAGCAAACTTTGTCTTGCCGCCTCCAGCACCAGTCGCGGGACGCTTGTTCCCCGCCGTCAACGCAGCTAGTTGATTCACAGCGCCCTCTGGAACTGTGGACTCCACACTCAGGACTTTGCTGCCCACATCGTCACTCGCAGGATTGTTGTTGCTGCTGCTCATGGTGTAATTACTTACTACTTGATCGTTTGTTGGTTCTGTTCTGCTGCTCGTTATTTTATTGATGTGAGATTCGATTCTTCGAACGCTGTGTTTGTGGCTGCGTTCGCAACAAAAGCAACGGCGATTGCTTCCAACAAAGTCGACTTGGTCGACCCAAAAGATATCGTGCGCGGCATGCGATGACGCCACCCACTTAGAGAGGTGGGATGATTGGCGACAAACGACGTTAACAATCCGGGCGGCACTCTTTACTAAGTACGTGTCACATTTCGCCACAAAGCCCTCATTTATAAGAAGGTCCTTTTCGCCGACTCCGAAGCGTGGATCTCCACTTTCCACGTCGTGGTCACCAGCGACATTCTCTTTTCCATAACGCTTTTCAGACCCGCTGTTGCGCGACCCCTGACCCCACCAATACCACTTGACTTGTGACAACACGAGGCAACAAAGACAAGGGAACCTTTGCAATTGGTATGATATACTTTCCAATTGCATAACTGGTGGCTAGCTAGCCATTGTCGCTTTTACTAGCTACTACAAGTAGAAGAAACAGCAAAGAAACAAACACAACCAGAAGAAAGATCAATCGTCAATTCGGTTCTTGCACGACTGAGTTTCTCCAACCAACGGCTTTTCGCACTTCTTTGAAAAATAAAAGTCGACCATGGTGGAATCTGTGTTTTTGCAGCGCTTGGAAGAAAAGCGGCAAAAGCATAATACAAGCACTGTCAGTGTCAGCAGAAGTGCTAGAAGCGCCAGAAGACGCACCGACACCTCCCCTATTGCTACCAACAGCCATGCTGCCACTGCTTCCAGCTCAGTCACGAGTCCAAACACGAGTACTTCTGGTAGACCCAAGAGCAGGAGAGCTACCGGTACCAGCAGCATGAATGCTTCTCTGAGAAGTGTGGGTTCTTCCAAAATTGGTTCCAGCAAGAGACTGCATTCTAGCATGGGCAACATGAACTTGAACATGAATATGAACCTGGATGTGGACTTGACCAATAGCTTGGACATGTCTGTGCACTCCCTAGATAACTATGGAGGTTCAGGAAGCTTGAGCAACATCAACCAGAATGACACGGGCATGACACTCAAGGGAATCAAAGAGTCGGTGCAACAGCAAATACACCAAGACCAGGAAATACAGAGACGCAAGCAAACCATACAGGACATGCCCAACCCAGGTTCAAGTACAAGCACGCAAGCTACTGCAAAGGTTGCACGTACCGGTAGAACCAGACCCACACGCACGTCGTCATCATCCACTGCTGCTGCTGCTGCAGCCACCAGAAGGCCTTCGTACAGAAGAGCTGCCACGGACCCTTCCGCTGCCCCGTCAACTCCCCGAAAGTCCAGACCAAAGCTATCCGCAAGCGTACCCAAGAGCCCGGCCAGATTCAAGCAGCAGCAAAAGAGACAAAGGGCCAGGCTGCATTCCAGTCTCTCCAGACTAGGTTCCAGCGTTGTAACAACCGACTCGAGAGATGACGGTTCGGTCGTTTCCACCGCCAGTTCCAGGCGGCGCATTCCAAGACCCAGGCCCAACCAGTCGCAATCATCCACGCCCACCACCACCACACCCAACGCTGCCCAACGGCGGAGCAGCTTTCAAGTCGTTGCGGCCGCTTCTGCATCACTCAGCAGCAGTAGTCATAGCAACAATAGCCAACCAAACAACGAAGCTACAGCACCAAAACAACGAAGAAATACGGCACGCCAAAAAAAATCGTCTGCAGCGGCAGTCACCGTCGGAATGCCCAAAACAATCACAAAAGCCAAACTCAAGGAACAAACTCACAAACCATTGAGGCGAGCCAATAGACGAATGACCATTGGGAGCCCTCCTACCAAAACCGACGTCAGCACCAACGCAAATACCAACACAAATACGTCCAATCCGGAAACGGCAGACGGGAGTGCAATGCATGCATCGTCCGCCACCATTGAACTCACTACTAATACTGCCCCTGCCACAAATCCAGTTCCGTCCATCAAGGCCAAAGCCAGTCTTTTATTTGCTCAAGACAATGATTACGTCGCGCCTCGAACCAGAAGACGAAACAAACAAAACAATGCGTACAGCAGTGATGATGACGACGAAGAGGAAACTTGGTATCCCGGCTGGAAACCCAAGGCACCCAAACCCGTCGACAAGAAATCCAAATACAAGGCCATGCTCGCCACGTCCAAACAACGCAGCAGCAACAACAAGGCAGAACAGGAAGAAAACAACAAAAAGACAAAAAAGAGCAATAAAAAAGACAAACTCACGGCGCAAATGAACTCGTCGTCGTTAGGGTTAGTCCATGATAGCTCCTCATTCTTGTACAATCCCATGGCCACGGCACGGACTCGACTCGATAATCAAAAAAGACGATCCAGTGAATCGCCCTTTTTGTCCACACCTACGAAATCCAGGGCGTTCGTGGACATGATATCAAGCAACACTAATGACGGGACAACTCCAGAAATTGATCTTTTGATACCTTCCGAGTCTCCCAAGGCAGCAAACGACAACAGCAGCGATGAGGAAGATGTCTATCTGGAGAGAGACAAGGACGGCGAGGGGGGCGCTGTAGAAGCGAACCACGCTAATACGGAAATGAACGGGGAGGGATTGGCTGAGGTACAGAAAACAACTGGGGAAGGAGAAAAAATTGTCGAGCAGGCAAACGCGGAGAAACTGGACGATTCGGAGGTAAAAAATACGCAATCTGCGATGACGGAAACGCCGGGATCTGATCATGCCGAAGCGAGTTCGACGGAACAAGAGGTATCGTCAGAGCAGGTCACCGCGGAACCGAAATCAAACGGCGAGCTGCCGGCCAATGCTGATGTACCTGCGCAGACCGAAAATGACAATATCCCGCCGGCGGATGACTCTACAGGTAAAGATGATTGGGCGGTTGTACATGAAGGTGAATATCACGAGAATACCACATCATCTAAACCGGTCGAGGAAAAGACAGGTGCGAAAACACATATTGTGCAAACCTTGGACTCTCCAGCAGCGAGTGAACGAAGAGCCAGCAATTGGCTGCTCCTCGATGATATGAGCGACATGGAGGACGATGACAAGGACACTTCCGGGAATGACGATTTGGACATCAGTAGCAACAGCCACCACAACCACGTCCATTTGTACGGGAACCAATACAAATACGGCATCAATGGAGCATTGGAGAACCCCTCCTACGCAAGGAAGCGTCTCTCGTCGTCCGCCCCCTCGGTGGAGGAGCTCACGCTAGATCTCAATGCATCGTTTGCCACGGTGGATACCATACCAACAGCCAACAAGCCGGGGAGCAATTCGGATCGTCACGTTCAGGATAGCATTGATAAGGCTGCAACGGATGCGTTGGACGATTCCATGGATTCGCTATACACAGATGACGACAACGACGGTGACAATGGCAACGAAAGCGGTTCAGGTGACTTGGTTGTTCTTGATCTCGACAGCCAACAGAGCTCTGAACGAGTCCAAGCTGAGAAGCAAGTCGTTAGTCTCATGGACAATAGCTCGGAGCCAGTGCTTCTCTTCAGTGTAAAGGAAGAGGAGAACGACACAACCGGAGAGGAAAAGGAAGATTTTGAGGGGACCGCTGGCAAACAGGCTCCAACGTTGGAATCTGTGGACGCCACTACTGCTTCTGGGCTAGACATAGAGCTTAGCGTGGCGTTGACCGAGTGCCAGTCATCAGCCGTAGTTAGGAAGGAAGGGGAGGGATGGGAACAGCCAATATTGCACAAAACTGACGACATCGTCATGGGCTCTGGTGTCCTTGAGTCAAACGGGCCCGATGGAGGGGATGACGTAGACGAAGTGACGACACCAAGAACATTGAATGGTGATGTCGAGGTTAAGGTCTTGGGCACGACAGTCGAAAGAGGCGATGAAGAAAAGGCGGAAGCGCCAGTTGCCATCTCTGTCAACAACAGCGAATCCATATTGTCACAATCCACGCTAGATACGAAAGCGGGCCTCAATGAAGACGATAGCTCGACAAAAGATGATTCGGAAGAGGGGGAAATGGCAAACACAACGGCTCAATTGGACGGCCCGGACCCAACATCCATTTCAGATAGAGCAGGTTCGGTTGGTCAGGGAGTGAACTCGGGGATCGAAAATGTGAACTCCGTGCAGATGTCAGCAGTCCCAATGTCAGTGGTGGAAACAGATCTCGTAAACAAGAGCGATCCCACCGATGGCGATGCAAGTCAAGACAATGCTGTTGTGGCAACGAAGAGCAACCAAGAGAACTCAATTTCCACAGATGACCACGGCGAAACAGGGGCTTTGGCGGGTTCCTCCAGTGTTGATGCAGCTTTAGTTGGTGTGCCTGACCATTCCGTCCGTGATCCCTGCAACTATGTTCCTACCAGTGACGAAACTAGATGGGTTGCTTTGAGCGACGAAGATGTGAGAGCAGCGGAAAAGAAAGGCGCCGACAAACCAAGACAGGCTGAAGTATCAACGGGGAACGAAAACTGCGATCCCACCCCACTCGAGACGAAGAACGACCCTGATTCAGCGGTCCTGAATGAGGCACTTCCTCGTGCTCACGTCCAGGGCGCGCCAATGGGTTTGGCTGATGCCGGAAACGTTGAAGCTGCTGTTGATGTTGGCAATGAAATTGCAGTTGATGCAGACGCAGCCGTGGGCGAAGAAGGAGTGCAAACTCAGGAAGGACTGTCTGCTGGCTCCCTTGTCGCAAAAGCAGAATGCAAGGAAATCCAGCCAACAACAGCTACTGATTACCGTCCAGATTCCTTTGCGGATGAAGGGGCACCTGTTGATAATGGCGACAGTGTGGAAGGGGATCGTGTCAATGAGCCATTGGACGAGGCTGTCTCTGTGGATGTTTCGGCTCATTTAAATGCAGAAACAAAGCAAGATACCTTTGGCATTACGGCTAAGACGGACACTTCGGCTCCTTTGCATAGAGACACCGAGCAAGACACCATTGCAGACGTGATCAAAACGGACACTGCCAGAGGCACAGGCGATCAACAGGGACAGGTCTCACCTTCGTCTGATGGCGACACTCTGTCAGGTGAATTAGCGGCAGCCGTAATCGTCGAGGGCCGCGACTCGACAGAGGAAGTTGCCGTGCCCACGAACGAGAAACAAGAAACCACAATTGCGCTTTCTGGAGCAGAGAAGAACTCCATGGTTCCCATTTCACCTGCAAGAGACACGGACACTGTCACTACCACTGAGGTGGAAGGCACGACAGCTAATGCTTGCTTGGAGAGCGACGAAGCGACAAGGGAAACTTCAACCGGAGAGCAAGACGAAGAAAAGATGCTGGAGGAAAAGGCCAAGAAGTGGGCCAAAGCCAGAAGAGCCAAGTTCGGCTCTTCGATGTATCCCAGTATGGCTCGAGATCGCAAATCAAAGAAGGACGGCGCGAGCAAGTCTAGGAAGAATAAGAAACCTGGACAAGCAGCAGCCATAGAACCAACAAGCTTCCTTGGCGAAGTTGCAGCATTAATGAATGCAAAGAACGACAAGGAACAGACGACACAAAGGACGAAGAAGTCTCGAAACAATGGCGAAGGTGAAGCGGTGAGTGCAGAAAAGCAAAGCAAAGCCCGTAGGAGACGAACCACAATGGCCGCTGCTGGGCAGACGGGTCCTGAAACCCAACGATCGCCGGAAAAGAGCCGGAGGCGGTCGACCGTGCGCACAAAGGGTGCATCCTCACAACGTCCGATGAATGAGAGATCCACCAGATCTTCTGAAGAACGTTCCAGGCATGGGAGGTCCACTACCGACGGGCATGGAAAATCCGCAACAAGGCCAGCAGACGAGCGAACCAGTACTAGGTCGACCCACGAGCGTTCATCTCATGGCAGATCAGGTGACAGAACCAGCGCAAAGCACGAGCGTTCGTCTCATAGCAGATCCGGCGCAAGAGCTTACGAGACGACCGCAGCGAGGTCTGCCGACGGTAACCAATCATCCCCTTCAAGATCAAAAACACCAAGACGGCGACCGTCAGCAGCTGGTGTTGCGGATGGTGACAGGACCGAAGAAAGACACCGTCGGAAGACGTCGCCTTCCAGAAGCGTCCGCACTCGGACCGCTGCGTCAACAGATCGGAAGTCTGATAGCTCAGATAGAAGCGTCCGCACTCGGACGTCCACGTCAACAGAGCGGAAGCCTGATAGCTCAGATAGAAGCGTCCGCACTCGGACGGCCGCGTCAACAGAGCGGAAGCCTGATAGCTCAGATCGTGTGGACAGGAGTCAAGGCAAAGCAGATGATACCGTAGCTAGTGTGGTTGCAGCGCCTTGAGTTCGAACTCGGAGGACCCCATAGATGGCATTATATCTACTAGAAGCTAGATTCACAAGTACATAGATAGCAGCCATTTTCCCGATAGTAGCCATAAGTCAAAATTTTGATTATTCCCAAGCACCGCGGAAGTCCATGTTTTCAGAGATTCCAGTAGGCACATCACTCATGGAGGGAGCTGGCCAAGTGCCGCACCAGGAAGCCCAGAGTTTCCCAAGCATTGCTGCAGTGTGGTTTCTCCATACGAGAACTGGTATCGTGATACAATTTCTCCAACAATTAGGTTTGTGTCGATCTGAGCCTTGTCACTCGCCCACAGATCTTGCATGTACTTTGTTGCTTGCTGGGCGATTTGGGCGCACGCATCGTCATTCTCCCGTGCCCACTGAATTTTCTCTTTCAGGTCAGAAAAGTCGTCTTTCAATGGTATATAGTGATAGTACGGCACTAGTAGGTCTTCCATTGCCCACGAAGCACATGTGGGGGTGGCCATGAACACCACAGAGTTTGAGTAAAGCTTCCATTTGAGACCCGATGCTACATCATTCCCTTCCAAGCTCAAAAGATACTTGTATGATAGCAGCTCTTTCATGTTCATTGCTGGTCTGGTCACAGCTGTCCTATTCACTGGCCTGTAGTCCTGAACCAAAGCTGTGAATCCGACATCAATATCTTTTGATGGCCGTGAAACAAGCTGCTCAATTACTTGGTGCCGTGTCCCTGTAGAAGCACCTCGCCAGATTAAAATTTCTTGATACGATGGCGGCGAAAAACGGCAACCAGGATTATGAGATTGGAGTTTATATTTGCATCGGAGCTTCTGTTGTCTTACCTTTCTTCAATTCCCACGCAGTATCACTGTCGTGAACTTTTGCTAGCGGACCAAAATGACGATCCATTTCCAACGGAACGATGATAGGGTCTAGCTGGGAAGCAGCTCCCACTGTCACTGACCTCGTTTTGACCATCACAGGTAAATCAAAGTTGGCTCTAGTGTCACCAAGCTGCATCATGAATGTAGGGACACTTTCTTCTGGGTGTACCCAATGTGATACAAGATATTTGAGAGCATCCTCCACATAAACTCCATACGACTGTTTCAGACTAGTGGACGTGAATATGCTTGGTGTGGTCTTTGCCCAATGCATGGAGGATGCCTGAAATGGATCCACAGTCTCGCAAGCATGCTTTGTATCAACACTCCGCCCATCAATCCATGTTGCCATGTAATACTTGATTCTATCGTCAATGGATGGAAACCGAAAGAGAGTTTCAAGGGCACATGTCTCTCTGTAGACCTTGCGTGTGTAGAAGATTTCTCCGTAATCACTTGAGTCAGGCTTCCGAAAGTGTTTTGCCGAAAGAGGAGCTTCATAGGCAAGGATTTGGTCTCCTCGGCGCAGTCCAGTGTAGGGAAAGCGGGCATTTCTTGTGTCACGATACGTGATGGCCACATCTTCTGAGTTTTGCACATAGCATTGGTGCAGCAACAGAGGACCAGTCAACTGCAAAGGAGTCTCTGGATACCACCTGTATTTTACATTTTCAATTATTTGGTCGAGTGCACACTGAAAGATTCGGGCCCCAGGTTTTGCAGCAAGGATCTTCATCTGTTTTCCAGGAATGCCATCATTTGGAGAAGGAATATCATGACCAACAGTTGCAGCAGAGCATGGAGAGTACAATTCCTCTAACGGCACGAGAGGCATGATGTCCTCGTCCAAATATATGCCACCTTCCGAAGACAATGCACAGAAACGAAATATATCAGCTCGGTAGGCTGGTGCTAACATGCAAGAGTAGGCTCTAGCGGCATCCGTTCCGCAGTGTCTTTGTATATACTCGAGTGCACTGTCATCACCTTGGTGTTGCAAAACAAAAGTTGGGTTGGCTCCACCTGTTGCAAATTGCAGGTAGTTCAGGTCTTGATCCTTCCCCACAGAGTGAACGATTTTGGGGACAACATCTGGCAGACCCGTGCAGTTTGGTTGGATATACTCCAGGGACAAGTAGTCATGACAGAGCCTGCGATAATCCAAGTCATCTCCAAACTCTGCGTGCACCATGTAACACGGATTTGGTCCCTGCAATAGGGCTCGATCAAATTCAGAAATTCTGCCTCTAACAGAGACCTCAGTATCTTGTAGACGGCCATTAATCACTGGCTGTGTTCCGTTGGTAGGGGCTGGTGTTGGTGGATCTGTTGGAGTTTCTGTTGGAGCTTCTGTTGGCGATTCTGTCGGTGGATCGGTTGGTGTATCTGTTGGTGGATCGGTTGGAGCGTCAGTTGGTGGATTAGTTGGAAATTCTGTTGGCTGACGAGTTGGTGGGTTGGTTGGCTGAAGAGTTGGTGGATCAGTTGGTGGATCAGTTGGCACATTTGTTGGTGAATCGGAAGGAGCGTGTGATGGAGAATTTGTAGGTGGCAATGTTGGAGCTTTGGTGGGTGAAGATGTTGGGCTCCGCGATGACTGAAACCCCAGGGCAACAAGACCCACACTTGCAAAAATTTCATTTACCAAAACTAGTAGGTCATCCAGGTAGGATCTTGATAGATCTGCCCCGCGTTTGTCTCGAGCATGCCCAAGAAATACTCAATAAGAGTAGTTCCCTGCAGCCTTCGCCGCCTCTGAGCAACACGGCTTGCAACCATGGCGGATAGCATTGCTGGAGTGCATCCAGTGGAATTGTCCATGGCCATGCTTGCATCCACCAGAGAAGATGTCAGAAAAGCATCTGTAACAGCTGTTGTATCTCCTGACACTGTCATGAAAAGAGTTTCTGTCTGGCTTTGAAGCGGTTGATCGCACTCTACAGGAGGGGGCATACTTGGTCTAGAGGATGGCATGGCGTCGGTTCAAATGTGGGGGGAGGGGTGGGGTTGTTTGTGGGACCAGGCGTTGGTTCAAACGTTGGCCCTGGGGTTGGTCAAGTGTTGGCCCTGCGTAGGATTGTTTGTGGGACCAGGAGTTGGGTCAAGCGTTGGCCTGGCGTAGGATTGTTTGTGGGACCAGGAGTTTGGGTCAGCGTTGGTCCTGGCGTAGGATTGTTCGTGGGCCCCGGAGTTGGTTCAAGTGTTGGCAAGGGTGTTGGTACGCCAGTCGGGAAGTTGCTGTGGTTGGGTTCGAGGTTACAGGCATTTCTGTGGTTGGTGTTGCTGTGGTTGGTACACTTGTGAAGTTTTCAGACCTTTCTGTAACTGTCGTGATGGCCACGACCAAAGTTGGAGCATCAGTAGTAGGCGCACTGCCAGGAGCTAGTGTTTCGCGGCTGCCTCTTCTTGTTGGGCCTTTACCAAGTTGTCATTGAAGTCGTCCACGAACTCTCGTGTGGTTGGCGACGGTTCTTCCCCTGGTTCTTTGCCCTGGGGACAGAGGCAGACGTCCAAGGCTTCCTGCATTTTGCGGCGGAAGTGGTGTCTGGGAAATGACCTTCGAACGTCAACCAAAGTTCGTCTTCGTCGAATTGCATCATCAAACAACCCAAAGCTAAACGAGATTGCTGAGCCCAACGTCTTTTTGTATTCACTTTGCTGAAGATAGGTAGAGCTCGACTTACCTTCCTGTATCTGTAACTGGGCAGTTACGGCATCTCCCGGTGACCTGGGGAGATCATGAAGAAAAGCGGCTTGTGAGCCGAATGCCGCCATTATGATGTGCAAACGAATTCTTGCTCTTACCTGGAACACGGCCGTCGTCGTCCCTTGAGCGCCAGCATTGCCAGCATCGGTTGCGTTTGTCGATTTGGAGATCTGGGTGCTTCAGTTGCGACTTCTTGCAATCTTCTTGCATTCGGTCCAAGGGTGATTGGAGGCAACGTTATTGGACTGGGAGTCTCTTTGGTATCGTCATTGATTATTGACCTTACCAGCAACCCAACATCGACAACGACCCGAAAAAATTCATCACAGGCACCAAATGATATGTCTGATGTGTGTCCAAGGTGAGAGCAAGTAACGATAAAGTGTACATCAAAACAGACAAGTCTCGAGTAACGTTACCATTGTAGGTCTCCTCAAACACTTTTTCCAGTCGCCTAACCTCAACAGCCGAGAGGGCGTTCGGATCGACACCAAGATCTGCAAAGACCAAGGTTTGAAACTGTACTAGCTCTCCATTGCAGGTGACCTGCTGGCCTTCAATGATGTTGTTGGGTGGCGCTTCTACAGATGGTAGCGCTCCACTAGCTTCCAGCGCGCCATATTCTCGGGTTAGTTCTGTTCCAAACTCCCTTGTTGTAGGGCCGTCTCCGGACACAGGCTGTTCTCCCGCTGGGCACACGCAAGTGTTCCCATCTGATTGAAGTTGTCGTCGTTCCTTCCGCCGCCGTTGCCTAGTAAAGGAATCTTTGTCTTCTTCAAGCTCAACTTTCTCCAGCAATAGAATCCGCCTTCGTCGTCGAAAGGTATCATCAAAGAGGTTGAATTGCCCCGTATCCGACACTGGGCATCCACGGCATTGTCCGGTAACAGCAAACAAAGTTGATACAATTTCGCTCGAAACCTCGACTTGGCCCGTTGTGTTGGTAGTATTTCCCAAACCGTCGGTGGAGTTTCTGGGTGGACTGGTTTCTGCAATCACATCTTGCAACCGGCGACCGCGGGTTGCATTCGAGGCGGGCGCGCCTGTGATCGGAGCAACCCGTAGTTCGACATCCACGACTTGCCGAAATAAATTGTCGCATGTTTGAAAGGATACATCATTGTAGGATTCCCGAAAAGATTGCTCCAGAAGCCGGACTTCCTCTTGTGTAATGGAGGATATATTGAGACGAAGGTCCGAAAATACCTCCGACGTAAAGCTGCCGGTGACTTGCCCGCACTGGACCTTCTGTCCTTCCGTGAGACTGTCTACGGATTCCACGACCACAATCGTGCTCCCGCCAGCATCGCCTGCTGCACCTTCTTCTTCCGCTTCTTGTTGCTGTTCCTGCAATTCTGTATTGTATTCCAAGAGAAAATCTTCTCGAGTAATGGCCACGCTTGTTTGTTGCGAATCCGTTGTATTGTCGCCGGTGTCCTCAATTACGTCAGGTTCCGCGGACCCGGACGGGCAAAGACATGTGGTGGTAGAATTTAAAATATTGCCAGGTTGGTCTTGTCGTCCCATTGTCAGAGGCAATGATCCTTCGTTTCGCGAATTTACGAAGGCATCAGATGCCGGGGCCGGAGTTTCCAAGGACGACGACGACGCAGATACGGTCCTTCCACCGTATACAGCCAATGAATCGCCCAATCCGTTTACTTGCACCTGCATCCTCCGCCGTCTCCGTCTTCGAAATGTGTCATCAAAAAGGGTAAAAGACCCCGTGTCGGTGACAGGACAGTTCCGACAAGTTCCCGTAATGGTAAACACGGCACTCCCTTCTGCAGTTTCCGTGACATTTGTGGCATTATTGCTTGTTTGTTGTTGCTGCAGATACCGTTGATTGTAAGGATTCCCATGCCATCGCCGTCTTTGTGTGGCAGACGTAGTACCAGTACCGGGAATACCAAATAATGTGGTCGTCGTGGGCAATTCAATCTGCAACTGTGCATTGAGGATGGATCTAAAAAATGGATCGCAAGATTCGAATGCCAATCGATTGTATGCATCTTGGAACGCCCTTTCAAGTGCCTGTATTTCTTCTTTGGACGGCACGGTGTTTTCTCTTACATTAACGTCCAAATAGGCAAAGGAAGTGAATTGTCTTACATCGGAAGCACATGTGACGGGTCGTAGCTCTTCCAACCTGACTACCGTGACGTTGATGGAGGTAGCCAAAGATTGTACGAGCTGTCCATTCAAAATGGGCAAAAAGTCTTGTACGGACAATGTGTACGGCGGTTCTAACCCGGTGGCCCCGGAGCACAAACAGCTGGGAGTTGTTATGGTTGGGGCAGATGTGGGGGTAGTAGCTTGTCGTTCTCTGAGCAACCTATTGTGGTGGTTGTGGTTGTGGTTGTGGTTGTGGTTGTGGGGTGGCGGGATCATGTGCTTCTTGGAAATGGCAGCATTTGTGTTGGCATTGGTATTGGTATTGGCAGTGCTGCTGTTGGTGGTGTCTTGCAGAGGTGCTGCTTCTTCAAACAGGGTAAGATCTGTTGTACAGTTGTGACAAGTGGCTGATACAGTGAGTGTCACAGTGCTGCCTTTGGTGGTACTGGCAGTGTTGCTAGTACCAATAATCAGTGAGTCAATGGCATTGGTTTGTGTGATGGTTCTGAAATGTGGTATATCACAGACCAGAAAGCTCAAGGTGTTGTACGTCATTTGGAAGGAAGATGCCAGCAATTCTTCTAGTACAGATCTCTGAATATCTTGCACACCATTGCCTTGTACATACAAGATCACTTGCCTATCTAGCACTGCAGTACTTTCAGGGCATTCAAACTCTGTAGCTTCAATGGTGCTGGTTTGTGCTTGCCTGGTCCTTGATGATGGTACATGTTGCTTGGCTGAGCTTGTGCTGCTAGCTTGTTGTGATCTAGACTTGTATTTGGCATTGTGTATGTGATTGTACAGTTGGTTGTGCTTACTACTTGTAGATAGCTTTGGTAGCCGCAATCTCCTCCCTTCACTGCTTCCTGTAGAATCAGTACTGGAGTCTACAGGGGGTGCAGCCCAGAGCAACAGCAAGAGCAATGCTAGAACCAATCCCATCACCAAAGCATCCCTACATATCAGTATACTTAGCCTATTAATAGCTAGAAAACAATATGCAGTTAGACAGAAAACTAGAGGTATTTGTACTAGCAATGCCTACAGCTGCAAAGCAACGACGATATTCTCGGACCCACCAATCCCGCAGACAGAACAAGCTACCCAATACAGTCCCCTGCTTTGTCTTACCTTGGTTTTAGTTAGTTGGGCAGATATCTAGTTGGAATCTGCTGTTTGGTTATAGATACCGGTAGGGGTGATCGAGCACGGAGGCTACTAGATAGCTACGAACCGTAGTAAGAGAGATAAAGCTAAACACTTGGCGTTTGATGTTTGCTGGGAGAAAATGGCCGTTGGAAAGATCTTTCTGGCCAATTATTGTGTTATTTTGGGGCATGTACTAGTACAGTACGCTTGAAGTGTGCGTATGAACCAGCTACAGTAAAAGCTAACTTACTTGTGGCCGGTTTGGAAGCAGTCGTCATTATTTTCAAAATAAATATCATTGTACCTGTACTACTATTAATAGTACCGGTACGATCAGCGTTTCTTATGTCACACCAGAACCCTTGAAAAAAATAGTACAGATTGCTCAAGTGCTACTCCTTTGAATTCTTGCTGGGTGAAAGACAATTGCTTTTTTTACTCCTGTCTCCCGTAGAGCTTGTACTAGTAGAGAGTACATGTATGCATACTAGCTAGTACCAGGTAAAGTGTTCCAGGTTTAAGGTACGGTACGACTGTACCACAATGATTGCGGGAATAGACTTACATACTTGCGAGTTTGGACAGCCTAGGTACTGTACTATAAAGAGTACTGTTGACGAATCAGTAGGTAAGATACTACTAGTAGTAGAACCTTTTTTTTAATTAAAACAGACGTCGTTGGAAAGACTTAGAAGACAACTTGACTCAGAAATGATATTTTTAGCTAAACAATAAAACAGCTGATCGGTTGAAAGCAACATAACAGGGTCTGGTCCCAAAGCCATGTGAGTGCAAACCCCAAGCCAGTGGCCGAAGCTCGAGTACCAGTAGACTAATGTATCTGGCACGGTGGCAATGAGGCTCAGGGAATCTTTAAAGGTACCGGTACCGCATAGTACCGGTATGTGGTTTGGTGGAAGCGGAAGACAATTTTATGAAACCAAAACAGATCGGATTGCCAAGCCTCCTTGTAGCCTGTTCGAAAAGGAAAGGGCGGGTCTGCCTGGAGACCAACGAAACAAGCAAACTCTGTGCCTAAAGATCCATGATCGTTCTGAGTACGTATACACTGTACGAATGGATACGACTTTTTTGAGCAGACCTGTTTGCTCCGGAAAAGGCACACATTTATGTAGGCTGGGCGCGTGGGGACCACACAAATCGAGTTGCCTCTGCCAAAAAAAAAATGGTCACCATTCAATCATGGCTAGTAGCTACATGTATGCAAAGCTATTAATAGCTCTAGAGAGGAGGGGGCATTGAGAAGGCACCTCCCAGGACCACAGATCAGCTTGGTACTAGTACTGATCAGAGGTGGTACCGGTAGGGAAAATAATTATTGCACTGTCCATCCAGGACCCATAGATTTATTTGCCGCGTCAGTCCCGAGTGTGCCGATCCGTACAGCAAACGAAAAGGAACGTGGGAGTCGAGTCGGTTTCGGGACTTCACAAAAGCGCTTGTCGTTGTGCTTGTGGCTTCCTCGAACGACGACAAACACGGAAACACCAGAAGCAAGCCCAGACGATTCATTCAATATCTCAGCACCAGACATCCATGTTGGAGGTGAGTGGAATTCTCTAAAAGGATTCGGGAGAATAAACCAAAAAGCAAACAAGCAACAAAATCATTGACAGGTTCAATGTTCTGCCTTCGGACACGTTCTTCCCCCAGGCAAACCCACCCTTTCCTTTTTTGAACGGAGGTAAGATGTCGCTTGGCAATCCGATCTGTTTTGCTTTCATAAATTGTCTTCTGCTTTGACCAAACAGATTGGTTTCGATTCGAGTTTGCTTGCTTGCTTTCGTGTTGCTTTGCCTACAGTCCTGGTCGCCATGAAGCTTTCCCTCGCCGCACTTGCCCTGTTCCCCGCCGTCGTCGCGGCCCAAGACACTCGCATTCTCGATTGTAACTTTATCAAGTACTTTGGATCGGGACATGATTTGTCCGCCGATGGAGTCGTTGACTTCAACGTCGCTGCAGGTGCCGAGGTCACGTGCTGGGTCGACTGCTTCTCGGGTGGAGTTCCACAAACCGATGTGGCCTACAATTTTGGTAAGCACCAGTATGAAGGGAAACAACTTTCTTTGCGTTGCAACATATTGTGATACTGAAACCCTGTGTCGTCCCTCTTCTTCTTAAGGAGCCAAGCCCACCGGAACGGATGACTCAGCAACCGACTTCTTTACCGAGTGCAAGGACATCAAGACTACTTTCACTGCGGAAACAGACCAGACTCAATTGGGATGGTCGATTCGGGCTCCACTCAACTACGACAAAATTATCATGGCTTGCTACTGGTACGTATTGTGTTCCTCTCGATTATTTGTTCCTTTAGTCTCTTAACTACATGTACGTCGTGCAGCTTGCGTTTGTTAGATTGGCCGGGCCTCATTGCAATGATTGAATTCGATTCTAACCGGTGCTTTTTTATCTTCCGCTTGTCACGGCCCAGCACGGATGACGGAACCGACTTCACGATTAACAACATTGAGGCCACCGTCGATAACATAAAGGAAAGCATCCAGAACTACATCAGCAACGTCCAAGACAACGTTGAGAGCTATGAGGGGCAAGGATGCTTCTCGGAGTCTGCCGTTGTTCAAGTTCTTGACCAAGGAGAAGTTGCTATGAGGGATCTCAAGCTCGGAGACAAGGTCTTGACCGAGAAAAACACCTACCAACCTGTATACAGCTTTGGACACCGCAAGCCTGACACCCAGATGGAATACTTGCAGATTTATGCAGAAGGAATGCCTGCTCCTCTTGAGATGACGGGAAATCACATGATCATGGTCAAGGACGGCAAGCACACACAGGCCATTCGTGCCGATCGCCTCCAAGTTGGTGACCGTCTCGTTCAAGTGGAAGCTCAGAATGAAGTAGCTGTCACAGAAATCAAAACTGCCAAGAAACAGGGCTTGTACATGCCCCTCACACCCAATGGAAAGATTGTTGTAAACAACGTGTTGGCGTCCAACTACATTTCAATCTCGGATGAAGCTCCTGCTGTTGTGGAACACACCAACTGGTTCTTTACCTTCCTCAGCATGCCTGAACAGAAGCTGTCTCACTGGTGGATGGCCCCCCATCGCATGCTCTGCATGGGCGTGTCCTCTAGCTTTTGCAGCGATGGAGACGACAAGCGCACTGCCAGTCAAATGGATGAAAAAGACCAAGGCATCCTTCCCTGGCTCCTTACTGGACGCAAGTTGGCTGACGTTGCCGAATTGCAACCGAGGATTGTGCAGATGACTCTCTTTGGCTTGCCTGCCTTCATCATTTTTGGATTGCTCAATCTCGTGGAAACTGTCCTTCTTGGACCTTCGTATGCTCCTTTCCTGTTTTTGGTCACCGTAGCTTTGATTATGAAGAATTGGGTTACCGGTAGCAACCAGGACAAAGATGAGGAGGAAAGCGAAGGCCTTCAAGGAAAGTTGTTGTCTGTCTAAACGCAGCGCAAGGGAGCAGCTCACATCTGGTGTCGTAGATTCCTCTCGAGCGATTTGGGTAGCCAGCTAGTGATGATTTATCAAGACAAACCAATAGTCACATAACAATAGCCACGTAATTTTTCCGCTCGAGCGATTTGGGTAGTGACCATGCATGGCTAGTGATCATTTATCAAGACAAACGCAATCGTATACAAATAGGCCCCGAACCAATAGCCATAGTTCTGCCTCTGCTGTGGGCCCTTGTCTCGATCCTTAAGCGCACAGCTGGCAGGATATCTGTGCGACATGGTTGATCAAGATTGGTTCATCTGGCTCAACGAAATACATTATATCTCCCCAAGTCGTTGTTTCGTGTGCTCCCAAATAGCAATCGCCCCAGAAACATGAACATTCAAGCTGCGAGTGATGCCCATTTGCGGGATTTCTAGGCACTGGTCAACAGCTTGCAAGAACTCAACCGGGATCCCCTCCTTCTCTTTGCCCAGCAAAAGGAGGATTGGCTGGTTCGGGAATGTGAATCCCTCCAGAGAAACACTTGAAGATGTTTGCTCCAATCCAACTATGAAGTAACCCTTTGACCTGTGCGACCGAAGATACATCAAAAGGTTCTATGTTTGGCAGCAAAAGAGAAGAGAAACAAAGGCAAACGTGAGCTTCAAAACGCAGAAATCCAGAGGTGGCACTTCCAAATTGGATCATATCATCCATCATTCCTAGTAAACATAGCCCCCACAGGATTGTCGGGATACAAGAGTTTGAATCATTTGGATATCACGAAACGAAGAACAATTTGCCGTCATGCTTGGTCGAACTTTCTTCAAGATGTGCTCAGAACAGATCTTGGTAATTGTGACAATAATCATCCGGCGCTGGGTCGAGCTCAAATTCAAACAGGCCCAAACAAAACAAAATAGGTTCCGTAAAACTCACCTCTTCTTTGCACTCTTCGATCTCAATCCAATCCCCAGCTGCAACACTGAAGGACTTGAAGTTGTCCATCTTGGTAACACCAATATCCGGGATCACAAGCTTCTCTGCAGCAAATATCTCTGCAGTTCTGGCCAAGCCACCCAAATTGGGGACCTTGTCAATAAGAGAAGCACAAACAATCAGCTTTTGCTTCTTCTTCCCAGCCACATTTCGAAGCCTCTTCTCTCTCATTGATTCAAGAGCAAGATTCAGCTCATCGAGAGGGATTATCTTTCGTTGGAAATTGACCAGCGCATCATCAATGACTGGTTCTGATTCACCAAGCTCTTCCTCTTCCTCCTCTGCTTTGGCTTTCATCGTGTCTTCCAGATACTTCCACTGGGGATACTCCTTCTCATGAGCTTCCTCGTAGACTTCCTGGAGATTTTGCTTCATTATTTCCGTCATGTGCACCGGGAAAGCTTCACCTCCTTCATCGACTGGTATGGACAGAATTCCCCCAGGAGAGCAAACTTCATCAACAGCATAAGAGTCGAAGAAAGTAGCCGACTTCTTCCGCAAACGTTGCATCTCTGGATTTTCATCGAGGAAACGGTAGATGGATATCAACAACGAGTCACTGTCGATCCCAGCGGCGTCAGAGTCTGAAGAATTCGAATCTGCCTTCACGTCAACAACGCGAGGGATCAGCGCATGTGTCAGCAACTGTGCAATGCCTCGACTGAATCCCTGTGTGCTTCCCAACCAGGGAATCGTGCCCGCAAGAATCTTGTTCAGCGGCACACGTTCGCCCGTTGCTCCCTCCTCGTACTGAGCGAGAAAATCAAGGCGATAGCGTCCCACAATAAGGTTTCCAGCAAGGATCATAACCGATGTCATGTGCTGCAGACTAAGATCCCTCCGTTTTATGCTCTCAAGAATCGCTTCCCCAAAAATTGAATTGTGCCTTCGCGACATTGAAGCGTGAACACTTCGAGGAAATACCGAATCTGCTGATGCAATGGATCTGCCATGGTTTGAAAGATGCGCTTGCATACAGCTTCAGCAATGTCATCGGTGACAAAGCGGGATAAGCAGCAAAGCGCTTGCCAGCCTTTTTGACAGAAATGAGAGATAAGCTTGTTTGCTGCACATTTGATGACTTCTGATATCGATTCCAAACCATCTTACCTCGAATTTTGACAACGTATTCCTCCGATCCGAGCATCACAAGATTAGAGGAACCCTTCTTCTTCTGCTTTGGGTCGCTGCTTACTTTATCGAGGAGGCCGAATATTGTGTGGTGCACAAGATCTTTGAGGACGTCTGGGTGTAATCCACTCTGAGGATCAGAGAGCTTGGAAAAGAATATTAAAGCATATCCCCGAGCTACACTGGATTCGTCTATTCCTGGTGGGATAGTGAAACCTTGATTGAAAGAGTCGTCGTTCACGGATTGGTTCGCCGTGACTTCGTTAACTCGGGATTCCTTGTGAAGCAGCAATTCTACAATGTCCTTGCGAAAGGAAATCGCACCAAGCCCTGCTGATGGATTATCGCTTGATGCATCGATCTGGGAGCCGCCAAGCCATCCCACCGTGGCGTGGCAAAGTACCACCCTCGAAATGTGTGGCCTCGTAGTGCCAGCCAACGACATCAATTTGCGAAATGCGTCGCGGATAGGAGTTTCCCCAGCAACAGGATCCTGCAGCAAGCGCCGATATTCTTGAAGCAAGAGGTCGCGCTGGAAGATGATCCCACAAAACTCGTTCAGCATGTAAAGAGTGTCGTGGCTTGACACGCGCTCTTCCATAATGGTCATGAAAGCATCGATGAAGTCACCGATCACAGATGGGTCTACATCGTCCGAAGCATCCATTTCGTTTTCGTTTTCGTTCCCCACTGGCCTCTCTGGAACCGACAATTGTCGCCGTGCTGTTACAGCGATGCATTGGAAAAATGCCATCATTGCGTCCACTGGAATGCCGTGCACCGAAGCGAATGCGACTTTTCGAAACTCCTGGAGAAAGTCATCAACCGCCTTGACATCGAACTGGTCCTTTCCGTCATCGCCAAGTAACCGAGGCAGCAGGCAAGACAGAACGCCCCACTTGGCAAAAAAGAAGATAGATCGGGCAATTTGCTCTTCTGATTTCCTTCTCCCCGGCATCTTTTGATACTCAAGCAACAGGAAGAGACGGCAAATTTCCAACATCTGCTTCTCATCGGGCAGTGCGGCCCCACAAGATAGTGCTGCATAGGTCAAGGCTGTCTGCCGCACAATGTCAGTGCCAGGATTCGAATGCGACTCTTGCAACGCGTCTAAGCTTGTCTTGACCATTTCGTCCACGGCTTTGGACAGTGCCATACTTGATGGATATGCCTCATGCAATAGCCGTATCTGAGAAATCAGATAGGCGAAAGTTATGGATGCTTTCTTGGCGTCTCCCGACCGACTCGCTCCTCCCGCCCCGTCCTCTTTGGAGGGAGCCTCGACCATCAAAAACGCCACATGATGGAGGACAAACTTCACGCTGCTCTCCAGCTCTAACTCAATGTTACGAGGCGGAGGCATCATTTGCTGTGTCCTTCCATCAACAATCAAGTCACCGTTACCCATGCCTGAGATGACTTGTAATCGGCATCCTTCCTCCAAAAGCAGCAAAGCCCTTGTCACGCAATCTGCTTTGGTCCACGTGGTTCCGATCATTGCAACCGGAACATTGGCAAGCCCCTTGTGAATGGCAGGCCAAAGAAGCTCGCCAGCGGTGGTGGCACCTTTGGAGTCACCAGCTTCACGTGTCGTCGTGCTTCGTCCCACTAAAGTGCAGAGATATGCCGTTGCCCTTGCCATTTCTCGCTCTGACTTGCTAGCTCCCGACTTTGGTTCCCACAATGCTTGATCATCCGCGCCTGACGATGACGTTGATAGCAGGTCACCTCGAACAAATGCAGCAGCGACCGAGGCAGCGACCAGGGAGATCCAACTCAAATCCATGCCACTGTCGTCGTTCACTACCAGCGGTACAGTATCTACAATCTGACACAACCATTGTTGCAAGGCAGCGCTTATTATGCCGTAGCTGCTCTTGATGACATTGTCATTTTCATCCAACGAATTTTTTTCCTCCTCTCCCTGCCCAGCTGACACCGTCGCAGTTGTTGCACTGCTTTTCTTGGTGCCGTCAAGGACAATTGAGTGGAACAGGGCCAATACTTGCAAGATCAGTTTGGGGTTCACGGCTTTCCTTAGCGTCCACGCATGACGCAACATTGTGGCCAAGGATTCGAGTAAGGATTCCTGAAATGTTCGTACAATGGACGCCGTAGCAAACAAGCGCTGCAAGGACTGTACCAGAGACGGTAGCACGGCAGGATCTTCCAGTACCCAAGTGGTGGTTGCGTTTGTTGATGTTGATGATTGCATGGCATCCGCCAGACACCCCCAGATTTGGACCAAGATTTTGGTTCGAACCCGATTCACCATGTCATTGTGCCAAAGCAGCTTGACGAACTCGAGTCGCTGATCTGGAGCCAGCGCCTGATAGTATAGGTTGATGAATTTTGATAGCAGAGGCGCCAACTCGACGTGCTGGACTTGCTTTCCTTCTTCCATGTTGAGATTTGTGCCGACCGATCCCACCAAACTGTCAAACGAGACAATGGCAATTTCACAGACAAACGATGGCGTCAAGAGCGTCAACGGGGCTCCCTGAGGTTTCTTCGGTGACGTCGGCTTTTTCCCGTGTTGTTTCCCTTTTCCTCCTTTTTTGTTGGCATTATTATTATTCCGTGCAGCAGCAGCACCACCGTCGTCTCCTGTATTTGTCGGTTGCAACAATGATAAGGAAATTCCCGCTTGGCCATTGAGAAACCGATAGAGCGCCAATTTTCGCACCATGGGTTGATCGTAGCTGGTTAACACTCTTGCCAATAAGAGCTGTGTCCATTTCCATGTCATGAGTGGCGGTGTAGTCGTCGTGCCGGTAGAAGCATCTACTTGTTTTCTTTGTTTTTGTTGTGTTTCTGCCATGCTGGCACATGCCGCAAGAACTTCGGTCAATGTGTCCCAGACTTGTTCAATGAGATGCTGCTCGGTTTCCATTTCGAGCGTTTCCATGACCTGAATGTACTTTTTCCAGAGAAGCACGGTGGGATCTTCGGGTGCCTTGGTTTGCGTTTGTTTTTGCTTTTTGGCTTTTCCCTTTGTTTTTTGTTTCTTCCCGTCCTCTTTGGCAATCTTGTTGGCAGGCATGATCATTCGAAGAAGATAGAGTCCCCGTCTGCGAAGCATGGTGTAAAGTTTGTCATTGGCGTGTCCCTTGGCAAAGATGTACGAGTTGGCAGCACTGCTGCTACTGCTACTGTAGGGTCTCGGAATGCCTTGTTGTAGACACGTATGGATAAGTTTCCAAAGACATTCTTGATGAAAGGGTGTCTGAGGTTCTGTAATTTTGTCTTTGTTTGTTGTTGGCACGGGCAATGGCTTGTCGATGAGTGACGGAATCATGGCACACAGCACACTGGTGGTGGGAATAATGATGTGGATAGCGTTGCTCGTGTTTGATTTTGTCGTAGCGTTTTGATGATGGTAGGTTTCCCAGAGACACTGCCATAATTTCTGGAGTTGTTCATTAATGTTGTTGTTGTTTTGACTGTTGTTTTGATTGTTGTGATGATAGAGTAGATAGGGCAACCAGTCATTGGTGAGTGGCCTGAGCCATGCCGCATAAACTGAGCTGGAAGTTGCCTGTGGTTGCTGCTTTTGTTGCTGAATGGCTTGTTTGCATTTTTGCAAGAGACATTGGAGTACATGTCCTTCTTCTTGTGCCATGATATCATCATTGGTGCTTTTTGCCTTGCAAGTCCATTGATGCAATCGAATGAGCACTCTTCCCTGAACTGTCCAAGTCCATTCTGGGCTAGCTGAACTGGATGAGCTTGGCAACAATTGGAGACAGGCATCTGTACACTTTTGCAAAGAATCTGGATTGGTAAGAATGGCAGGCGTGGAGAATACAGCATCCAGTAGAGCTTCTAGCATTTCCAGCTTGGTTTGAGGAATGCTGGAAAGTTCATCTTGTTCTGCTTGGGGCAGTGGCATGTAGTATCTGCTGAGCAACCAAGGCAAGACAAGAGAGGACAATCCCTCCAATGGGTGACTGCAGGATGACAGACAGTACTGAAGCACAGCCAGTTGCTGCTTTTGCTGTGCACTTGAACTGGTAGTGTTCTTAGTTGAAGAAGAAATCAAAATCTCTCGACACAACTGTTGATCTTCTGGGTCAAGACAGACACGAACAATCCAAGATTCAAGGGAGGATTCATCTTGCTCTGCCTTGCTATTACTAGTATTACTAGTAGCCGAACCCCACCGAACGGCTTGACAGATGCTTTGGTGCAGCGGGACTAACTGTCGAAGCGACACCCTTGGAACCACGGCTGGACTGTCCGCATCCTGCTGCTGTCCGTGTAGATTCTCACAGAGAGACAGTAGCGTCTGAAGAGGACGATCAGATGCCAATGCTGTTGTCGTCGTGGCCATTGTGCTGGTACCGGTACTTCTTAGTGGCTTTGGCGAAGGTCAATCGATCGATGCAACAACCAACGCTCAAAAGAATGAAATCCACAAAAAAATGACGCTCGAGTTTGATGGCTGCCGTTGCTCTGTCTCTTGATCGTCGGATAGACTGACAGACGAAGATCCATTTTTGAGTCACAGTTCGCCGATCACGATCATCGTGTTTCATCGTGTTTCATCGTGGAGTGGGAAATCTTCGCCTCACTAAACTTTTATGGTATAGGTACTGGTAGCGGTGGGGACGGGATAAGGGGCATTGGACTGCGGATCCTTCTCCACCTGTCAAGAGCTCTGGCTAGCTAGATCGCTATCTCCCTGTTGACAGGATCATCATCTGTGTGAACTCGTCGAACGAAATAACTCCATCACCCTGGAAGCAGGAATGATTGCAGGAAATGATAGCACGTCGAGTCAAAGTCAAGTCAGCCAGGTAGATACGAGCAAAACACAACTCAACTTGACAAAAGATATACTTACCTCCTTATCAACCTGCTGGATCAGTTGACTAACCACTTGGTCATCGGAAGCCTTGCCCATATCCAGAGCATCCCTCAGAACTTGCTTCAAATTGTCCTTGGAGATCACGCCGGAGTTATCCACGTCAAAGGCGTCAAACGCTCGTCTCAGCACGCCACTAGACAGCAGGTCTTGTTCATTCATGGCTACCGTATACAATAATGTTTCAAGGTCAAGGGTGGATGCAAACAAAGAAAAATTGCCAAGGCATTTGGACAGTGAGAGAGTACCATACCGTATGTCAGGCCGACACCAAATGCTTGCTTGCACGAACAAAGAACACACGCAACGTACCGGCCACGACAAATTCGGAATAATTCAAAAAACCGGATCGATCCACGTCGAGACGGTCAAACATTTCATCCACTTCTTGCTCGCTAAGGGATTCGCCAAAGTAATGCGCATAGCCATCTTGAACTTGCTTCTTGGAAAGCTTGCCATCTTGATTCGTGTCAATGGCTAAGAAAGCGCGATCTATCTCTTCTTTTTCACGTTGCAGTAAACCTTGCGCGGATATGAGAGCAAATGTGGCTTGCTTCAGTTTTGGTGGTGCCACTAGTAGACTTTGATGTCGTTGCAAGTTTTTCAATGCCTCCTTCACGTCGGATGCATGCTCTTCTTGCTGCTGTAGTATCGAAGGATCCATGTCTTGGAACCACTTGTGATGCAGGGCTTCTTCTGCAGACGGACGAAACTCCTCATCATATGTCAAGAGACGAGCAATCATGTCAACGCCAGACAGTGAGACTCCCTCGAATATTCCAAAATCGATGTCACCCTCCTGGATCCGCTCGTGGATCTCTTCCTCCGTCTCTCCATCGAATGGAAATGTGTTGCAAAGGACGAGATACAGAATCACACCACAGGCGAAAACATCTGCTTTCTGTCCATAGTTGTGGGACAGCACCTCTGGCGAGCAACACGCTTGGTACCAGTGTGCCAAGGAATCAAATCGGCAAAACCAAAAGCACAGTTAGTTTGAGATTGACAAGGAGACATTGGCAGCGCGAGAAAATTGCGCACGAAGAAAGGCGCATGATCTGCTGGGCGGACGAGCCATGGCAACCGGACGTCAAGACTTACCTGGAGTGGTGGGTGCCTTGTCAGTCAGACGCTGGTTGCGTTGGCAAGTGGTTGCGCGAGCAAAATCAATCAGCTTGAAGAGCGAAATGGTCTTCGACTTGGGCAACAGGATATTTTCTGGCGTTAAATCCTGCAACACCAAATAAAGGAAGAAGCAAGACAAGGTCATAGGCGGAATCAGACACGCCAACATGCTCAAGAGTGGTGGACAAGGCAAGCAGCTAGCAGAAAGCAAGCCCAAGGCTGACTCGACTCACTCTGTGAACAATGGCATTTTGATGCAGATAGTGCACTGCTCCCAAGAGATGTTTCATCTGTTGTGTACATTGGCATGGCAGCTGTGTTAGTATTGGGCAGTTCTCCGTTTCGTTTCTTGACGGATGATTTCCTCACCAAGACAGCCGCGGACGCCTCGTTCATGCTCCCATTATCATCCAGCTCAGTACACAGGTCGCCACCATCAAGGTACTCCGTTACAATACAGTAGTGCCCATCCTCAATGATCAAGTCCAGGACAGAAAGGGTGTTGGGATGATCCAACCGTTTCAAAATCTCAACCTCATTCAGAATTTGCTGGGAGTCGCCATCCCAAATAGTCTTCTTCCGCACTTTGACCGCCCTTGTAGCACCTGTTGCCTTGTGTGTGCACTGAAATACTTTGCCAAACAGGCCATCATCGATGAGATCACCAACAGAATACAATTCATCTAGTTGAGACGCCTTTTCGCGCATGAACGTGTGGGCTGAGAAGGAAATACTCGACAAGGCTGAAGTGTCCTCGGACGCGGCAGTTTGTAGGAGGATTGTCAAGAAATCGTAAAGCGGAATTCCCTTGTTCGCGGTGTCCCCAAGTCGATCCAGCAACAAGGTTCTGGCATGTTCATCGGCATCTTCCAACGCAAAATCACCGAGTGCACTCAAAGCTTGCGTAAGATGGGGTAAAGATATGTTTCCAGAATTGTCAACATCATACGCTTCGCACGCTTTCCCCAGTTTCTCGTTATCAAAAAACATTTCTTTCTCGTTGACGACGGAAACAAAAAAGTCAGAGTAGAAAATTGTGCCAACGTTGTGAATGTCCACACGTAGAAACAAGTCCTGAACCGCTGCATCGTCAATCTCTCTCGAATAGAGGGCTTTCTGTGAATGCAACAATAACGCTCGGCAGGTAAGATTCAATAAACGTCCCAGCCGTGGGGATCATGGGTGTCACCTTACATACGCTTTCTTAACATCAGCGGGTGTCAAGTTGCTACCGAATTTGAAACCCAAGGGGAGCAAGACGGCCTCGAGTGCTTGGCGTTCAACATTCAACGCAACCAGGCATCGCACGATGGTCATTGCCCCTCGTCCCATTCTCTTATCAACATTCACTTTGCTTTCAGGAAGAGGGTGCTGGGATGTTGCCTCTTCTGTTTCGTAACTGTATTGAAGCCAGTCATGTACAAGAGCTTCATCCGCAGTTGGTCGAGCCTTTTGATCCCAGGTCAGCAGGCTTGCCACAAAGTCTTTCGCCGGCCCAGCCACGGTCTGCCAGGATGGATCAGTGAAAACGAATTTGCCAGTCTTGACCAACTGCTTGACGTCCCTGATGAACATGTCAAAGGATGTAGTGGCTGACAGGCATAGATATGCGATGACTCCAACTGCCGAAGTAGGACCAGTGGCGACACACTGAAGCGTAAGACTAGTGCGCATGAACCGGCAACATAGCGAAGGAGCTGTAAACGTACCGGACCAGATGTCGCATGCGGGTCCGTATCGTTCCTTTGCTACCTCAGGGGCCATGTATCCTATGGTTGCGTTGGCAAAGAAGCCAAGCAGTGTGAGCTATTGCGATCTGATCACGAGCTAGCTAGCGGACCTAAGAGCTAACCCAAAGGCACATACCTGGCGTCCCAACTTTCCCGACCAACCCGACCTGTGGATCATAGAAGGTTGCTGTTGAGAAATTGGCAATCTTGAAGCGATCGATGTCTGCATTTTTTGACATCATGATTATTTCTGGCTTTAGATCGCGGTGGACAATGTTCAACGAGTGCAAACAACTGGTTGTTTTCAGAAGCTGCCTCAAAAAGCGGATGGCATCTGCCTCACTCAGGTGACCAAAGATATCTAGCTCATCCACCAACGAACCACCATCGCCGTAAAGTTCTTGAACGCTGTGTCAGGCAACCGGAAACACAGGGCAAAGATGTTAGTCACAGAAGATCAATCGTGGAAGGTTTTACTTTGGACCGACCGCCTTACACATAATAGTGCAATGCGTCCTCAAAGATGTCGTTGACCAGTGCGCAATTTGGTTGCGAAACCAAGCAATTGAGCATGCAAATCTCTTCCAAGAACTTCTCATTCTTGGATTCTTGACTGGAAATATCCACAATTTTCAGAATGTGTTTCGTGCCAGTGATTTTGTTCTGGCAATAGAACTGCCCCGGTTGGATGTAAGTGCCCATCGTGTATTCGTCTGTAAGCGTATTGCCAAATTCCATTGCGGTTGCCATGAATGTCACCTTTTCCATAGAACCACAACGGACCAAGGCTGCCCCTCGGAGACGTCGCACAGAGTCAGGCACCTTCAAGCCATCGCTGTTGGAGACCACGAGGGCTGTTTTTACCATCATCCCGAACAAATCATCCACTGTCACTGGGTCGTCTCCATGCTCGCAGAAGACTGCCGCCATGTTGTGTACGACTCCTTGGTCACGTTTTGCACTCCCGTAATAGGTGAGCATCTCACAAAGATCCGAGTTGAGGTGCTTTCCGTTGACCTCAAGCGCCCGAAACGGCGTTTTGATATCGCTGTGCATCGCTTCGTTAACGAACGCCACCAGCAACTCAAGCGATTCTATGTATCCGCTCTCTTGAAGGTCTATTCGTAGAAACATGTCATCGACGTCGCTTCCCGATAGCTTCTTCCCAAGCAATCTATGGAACCCGTGCTGTACATCCTTCTTGGACAGCTGATCATCCATTGTCAAGCCCATGCTTTGAAAGGCTTCCGCAAAGACATTGACCGCTTGGTTCATAGAGCCTTGCGCTGCAACGATCAATTCAATGGATTGTCGAACGTGCGATGCACCGTTGAAGCGGGATACTACCAAGGAATCGTACCACCCGCCCTGAGGTTCCACCGTCGCTGACGAGTCCGAGTCCGGACTCCTTAGCCAGGCATGATCCAGTGCGTGTTTGGCAGAGACACGAAACTGTGGTTCAGCAAGTAGCTGCGAGACGAAATCCTTCCCCACACCAGAAACTCCATCCCAGTCCAGCTCGGACCCATGACCACGTTCGGTGAATAGAACTCGCTTTGTAAGCATCCAGTAGGCCAGGGCTCCGCAGGAAAAGACATCGCAAATTGGGGCATAGGCTTTGGGGTCTTGCGTGGCCTCAGGAGCTACGAAAGCAGCATCGATGGGCGATAATGTCCTTGGACCATTCCACATGTCCAGACTAGTGTCATGGGCGGCGCTTGTCTGCATCCTTTTGTCATCCACCACACCGTCAGATTCAGTCCAACGGGATGCTGCGGCAAAGCCACCAAGTCTAACTTGATTGCACCCTAGGACGTCGACACGATGGCCTTTTCTGTGCCCGACAGTTGGAAGGAAAATAGACTCTGGTTGGAGAGACCGATGTACCCAACAGAACGAACCAATGGCTTGGTCCTGGTCCGATTCTCGTGGTGTATGAAGATAGACAAGTGCCGACAGGATCTGTTTGATTACCTGCTTGACGACCGATTCATCCAATGCACCCCACGTCTCCACCTCTGAACGTAAGTCTGTGTAGCAATGCTCCATCACTTGGTAGTAGTACTGTTTGCCCTTGAGCAGCTCGTGCGGTGACAACAATATGTTGTGGTTTGTTGAGAGCTGGGATAGAGTGTGGAATTCTCTTCGACATTTCAACACTTCTTCGTCTTGGGCGATCCATTGCGACGTCTTGGGGACGATTCGAACCGCATACAGCGCTCCTGTCTTTCGATCACGACAAGCGAACCAGTCGTCGCTCGCGCTCCGGTTAGATGTGATGGTGGTGCTGGTGCTGTATCGGATGTTGTGCACGTCATCCGTCGAGCCCACGTTTAGCTTTTCGATGACTCGATACTGCTTGTAAAACTCTTTGTGGCTATCACTGTGCCAGTTGATGTTGCGCATTCGTGACCACTTCCCACTCTTGATTTTGCGGGCGATTTGTCGTGTCTTATCGTCGACAATACTGCTCCTTCTGGTTTGTTCGGTTGCCATCAGGTCATCCGTGGATTCCATAATGAGAGCCACAAATTCGTCATAGGACAAATAGCCGTCACCGTCACGATCTGCAATTTGCAGTAATCTGTGGATGGATTCACTTGGAGACGTCATTCGAGTTGTATGTTGGGATGAGGAGGAAGATGCTGCTGCCACCAAAGCAAGCTCAAGGTTTTCCACAGAGACACTGCCATTGCCTTCCACGTCCAACCGTTGGTATGCCTTTTGGATTCGATTGTCTTGTCCCAACATCCCCTTTTCATGCAGCGAGGCCACTACAAACTCCGCAAATTCCACAAATCCACTCGAATCGGTATCCATTTGGGAAAATATTCGATCCACTTCATCCTTCATTGGATCATACCCGAACACGGTTGAGAATCCCTTGAGCACTTCATTCTTGGACAACTTCCCGTCCCCGTTCACGTCCAACGCTCGAAATGCGGCATCGATTGCTCCCTTTTCTTCTTGAAGACGTTGTCGAAAGTCCAGGATGATTGTGGCCGCCTGTTCCAATCTTGCTTCATTCGAGAGCAACGCCGATGACTGGGCCAGAGATTGTTTCTTCTTGCCTCCACGGACCGCATACATTTGACGGAACGAGACGGTGGATGAAGCTTTAACCGAAGACGAACTTGCAGACACAGCAGTCAATAAGAATGGATGTTTCAAAGCCTTTGCTGCGGAGATGCGTGTTGTCGGGTCAAATTGCAAGCAACGGGTGCAAAAATCTCGGGCTTCCATACTCACAGCAGCATTTTCCCAAATTGGATCAGACTGCAATCGTCGCTGGTAGTCTTGACTTGAATTATTATTGCCGGCTGATACAGACAAAGTGGGATGTGGCGGCAGCCGATCTGCAATCAATACGAATGCCAAGACGCCCACGGCCCACATGTCATAGGATGCCTGTACATGCGAGCTGGCGGCGCTCTTTTTCTTTTTCCGCTTTGGATGTTGCTGTTGTGTATGCTGATGGCCACTAACATTGGTCGATGCCCCTTTCGATGATGCCAGTACTAGAACTTCTGGTGGAGTGTAATGTGTGCTTCTTCGCTGGACAAGGTGGTTCGAAATCGGATCGTCGATTTTGCAGCATCCTCCCAATCCCTTGAGTTGACTGTCCACCGAGTAATCGGCAGGAGGCTTGCTGTCACCAGCGTGCCAATTCGGCAGGACCACTTGCTCAGGGGTGAGGTCTCCATGTATCATTGTGCGTTCCTCATGCAAGAAATGGAGGGCCTCCAAAACTTGCTTCAAAATCGCCACGACGAATCCTTCCTGAACGTCCGCATTGTCTTTTCCCAGCGTATCCTGCAATGTCAAACTGCTCGACAGCACATTGTCCAAGATGAGATAGCTGTGGTGATGACCACCGTTGTACCATTCGTGTAGCTTGACAATGCGAGGATGGGCTGGTAGATCCTTCCACAATTGAAGCGACTTGTCCTGCAGTACGACCAATGGCGTCTTCTTGTTCCATCGACTGAGCTTTTGCGTATTGACAATTTTGAGGCTGAAAGTTTGATGGGTCTTGAGATGCACGCAGGTGTGTATGTGGACGAATTTGTGTTTTGATGTTCGATGATTGTCCTCTTGACTGATTTCGTACTTGTCACTGAATCGGTTTCCCGTCTGAGTCGTGTGGGCAGAAGCATCGTCCGCTCCTGTTGACGACAAAGCGTGCTTGCTTTTTCCAGCCCTGGTCTTGGTGTCCCCTGGAGCGTGAGTGTGTCGTCCTGGACGTTGGTCATCACTCACTTTCTTGTGATCCTTTCCAGAGGGGTTGTGGTGGTGGTGGTGGTGGTGGTGACTGTGGTGACTGTGTACTTTCAGCTCCTTGTTGGAATTGCTTGCTTTGGACATGGACTTTGACTTGTCGTCGTCATTGGTGTGTGGTTGTTTGGCAGCACTATTGTCGGTACTGGTACTATTTGTTGGCTTTGTGGTTGTATCATCCTTCCGGAATCGAATTTCGGACGTTTGTCGCGCCCTTGGAGCCTTGAGGGATTGCGATGGTTTCCGTTGCTTGTGGGTGCTGGACTTTCGCAGGGAGGTGGACCGAGGTTGAAAGGTGGGGGTTGTCTCCATTGTTGGCTACGGTACCGGTATTGACTCAAACCAATCACCAATGCTTCACCCTGTCAAACCCAAAGCACTTGATTCCTTCAAAAGATTGGACTGAAGACTGTCCCGACAGCTTGGCTTGCCGGAACGGGAGTCTCACTAGTTCTGTCCCAAATGGGGACAAGATCCAAGTTGACCGGCCGGAGCCCCCAGAATGCATGCAGTCAAGTGGAGAAGGACGATTCGATTCGATTCGTCTGGATTGGTCTCGTTCGTCTCTTGAACCAATGATACCGGTAATATTCAGGTGATGTTCGGAGGAGTCTTTCCCTGCATTTGGGTCTTTCCTCTGTTGGATCTGATCTTTGACCTGATCCTTCTATGTGAATGTAATCTGTTGCAGTCAACCAACTGTAGTAGCGGTAAATGACAGATCTGCTGGCTGATAACTTTCGTGTTGTTTGTTGCTGTTGCACGATACTAGTACGCAAATCCTTGGACTCGACCGTCACTTCTTTGCTTGACTTTGCTTTGGCTGCTGAAGGTAGCTTTATGCACATGTAGGTTGAAAGATAGGTTACTGTGATTGCTGCAATCGTAAGGTAGCTACCGGTAGCACCTACCTATTGATAGCTTGCTGAAAGCATAAAGACCAAGACAACCGGTACGACTGTACCTGGTACCTGGTACCTATGCCATACCAGCCGAATTTTAATTCGAATTGAAAGAGCAGCGAGGGGAATCCCAACCCTAAAGAACGACGATGGACAAACCAATGACGTCCACGCACAAGACTCAGTCACCAGTAAGTCTTGAGTGACTGAGTGACTCAACTCCACCACGTTCTTCTGTACAGACACTTTCTTTCGGTGTCTTTGTCTTTTGTACGAATAGAATATGGCCTGTTCACTCCATGACATAAGTATCGTATGGCATATATACTGAGTAGTATTCGAGTATAAAAATTGTCTTTATTAATTAATAGTATCCACAGCCAGTCAGCATGACATAATGTTGTTCCTCCTGCACGACATACATGTAAAGTACTGTACAACATTAAACATTATAGTCGGCGTATGACATCTAGACTATCGTACCGAAATCGTACTGGTGACTGGTGACTGTACTAGCTAGTCTACTGTATCATACAGGTTTGCATCGAGTTGACGAAGTCATCTAAGCTGTATTAGCCTTCATGACAGAAAGCATCCACACATTATTGTTCACTGAGTAAGAACACGATTAGTCTAGCTACATGTGCGTCACTCGGAGTACAGCAACCAGTACCGGTCCACTTGCTCTTTAGCGACCAATGACTACAGATTAGCCACCGGTACTGATGTTAGCAAGCAGACTCAGAAAATGAATTGTTTAGAGTCATAATTTGCATGTGTACCTGGTACATGTTAAAGCCTTATTGACACTGAGTTGAAGAAGAGTTTGAATGGCGATGTGCTTTCCTAAGCTTAAAAGCGGTATTAGCGACGAGTGCTGGCGTTACCCTATGAACGTCGAATCTTGCTGGAAAAGGAAGGATTCTTTGTGTGCCCCAAGCTGTGCCCGGACAAAGTTGGTTGGTGGTTGATGGATGGCCGCAGGCAGATCGCACCGAGAGAGCGGAAGCAAAACAACGGCTAGTTTTTTTGTATTAGCCGCAGCAACAACTCCCAAACCCCAAACATCAACACCAACAGCTACAACACCAACAACACCAACAACAGCAACAACAGTAACAACAGCAAAGTAACAATTGACTCAATAATTTAAGTCAACCCCAGCAAGTCAATCAATCAGCTAGCTATTCCTAGCTATCTACTATCCACCTACCTATCTACCGTATCCATCCATGAGTAGCAACGGTGCTGCGGATACTTCTAACGGCACTCCTAGTAGTGCTGCTAGTGCTAATGCTAATGCTGGAGAAGATGAGTTGAATGCTTCTTTCCAGAGTTCTCACTTTTCCAAGCCAGACTTTCCTTTTGCTCATACTAGTACTAGTAGAAGACATACTACTAGTAGTGGTGCTGGTGCTGGCAGGCATGTTAGTTTCAGCTTCAGCATGGAAGAAGAAGATGGAGAAGATATTGAGAATCGGAGTGATCACAGCATTGGCATGGACAAAAAAGATCTTACGGACGAAAATGATCTTAAGAATGTGGATTATCTTAAGAATGAGGTTGATAAAGATGAAGAGGATGAATGGGACCAAGTGAGTCTGGACAATGAAAATGATAACAGCGAAGCAGAAGAGAGCTTGGATTTGAACAGCCAAGAGTTGAAAGAAGCAGCCATGCGGGAGAATTTATTCTTTTCCTGTTTGGATCAAATCAAGAACGGATTCATCATGGCTCTCTTGACTCAATGCCTCAAGTACTGTGTCGTCATGTGCCGAAAAGGCAAAGGAGAAGACACATACGACGATGAACGCCAAGATGCCGTCAACCACACCAGCATGGCCAACATTGATGTCACTGGCGTGGAAAACTTGAATCCAAACACTCCCTTTGGACAATCGGGAGGTGGAATGACCGGTGGAACCACTACCACTACTTCCACTGCAGGAGCGAGTTCCGGGGCTGCGCAAGCATCTGCCGTTGTCGGACAAATGTCCACACAGGCCGCTGTCAGTGCGGCAGGGGCATCGGCTGCAGCAGCGTCCACCGCAGGTACGTTTTCACGTTTCACACATTCTCTCTCAGACACATACATACATACAGTGCATCCATCTGTCTATACAATCAGATCACTTACGTTTTGTTTTACGTCTTCGTTTTATAGCCACCGTCACTGCCACTGTGGCAACGACCCTGGCCACTGCGCTGGCTTCCGCTGGAGTCGCATCACAAGTTGGACTGGCCGTGGGGGTGGCAGCTGTCACTGCTGCCGCCGTCACTAGTGGGATTGCCAATAACAATGCCAATCAATACACTGAAACTGTTGTTGTCATTGCCAAGAATCAAACCGTCTTTGTTCCACCTACTTGTTCCGAGGTATCACAGCTCAAACAGGGCATTGTGGAACTCAAGATTCAAGGCATGCCAGAGGATGCTCTCCCAAAACACAAGGAGAGTCTACAAGAGTAAGTTTCTACTGCTTGTCTTGTTTCATGTGTGGTCATTTTCTCATTTCACACCATCTCATGATTCCCAGGATATTCCGAGATCTATACAATAACATTACAGGCATGTGCTTGGATCCTTTCTCACGGGTTCTTTACAGCTCCGAACTACAAAGTTGGGGCACCCAAGACAGTATCGTTTTCATGGATGATATTCCCACAGAATGGGCAAACAACAACACCAACTCTTCAGCAACCCGACAGTACATTGTACCCATAACTACCACCCTATGGGTTGCCACAGTGTCCTGTGATGGATGTCCTGACTATGAACCACTATTCCAACTACCACAAGAAGAGGAACCAAACACAAATAATAATGCAACCGACACCAACACCACTCTCAGCAACTACAATGCAACCACACTAACAGACAACAACAGCACCGTTGCTTCCAGGAGACGCCACTTGCAGCTAAAGACTAAAATTGAAATGTCTCAGTTCTTTCCTCTCTTCGCAGCTTCCTTTGGATACAACATTGAGCCAGTGCTCTTTCAGGTCACAGAAGTGACCGATGCAACTGCAACTGGAACTGGACCCCAAAGAAACATGGAGGTTGTTTTTGCAACCACCAAAGCGGTCTCTCCCAATGGTGGGGATACCTCGGACGAAGTTATACTGGCTATTGGACAAGACACCATTCGACCATACCTTGAAACTGTGGAAGAGAACGAGGGCACCATCATGACTCCATTCATTTTCGATGAGCTCTCCTCACTGGCACAGTGTGTCTCCACAGAGGGGGAACTACAACAACAAAAACAACAGCCAGGAACACAGCAGGCCAATAGTGATGACTTGTGTCAGCAGCTTCAAGAGCTCATCCTGGTAGAAGACAATGGAGACGGAGCCGCCATTGACCCAGCAGTGCTGGCAGCTTGTCTACAAACGCCCATAGACCCAACATGTCAAGAAGTACTGGCCACGGCCATTGACACAATTGGCAATCAAGCAAGTATCAATTCTGCCACAGCCAACGCTGGCGATGATTCTACTGGCAACAGTGATGTGAATCAAGACATTTATTCTGTCAATGGCGTCACAACCAACACAGAGGAGGAGGTTCTGTCCAATGACAATGACGCCAGTGCTGGAGAGGCAACTGGCGAGCAAGCCAACTTGGGCAATGGAGGAAGACTTGAAGACCTAGTGGACACCAACCCTTCCTATGTGGATTCTAATGGAGGCATGCCAACTTTTGAATCAAATCCGGGTGAAGCAAACACAGCCGCAGGATCTCCCTCTGGAACCAACGATACCAGCATGGATGCTATGCTGGCGCCCTCTGCAGCTGCTTTTAATGGAGGGACAAGTGATGGTGGAGATGCGGGCACCACATCTTCTACTGCCAGCGAGAATACTTCCCAGGGTTCCACTGGTGCTGCTTCTGGATCCCAGCCAGCTGGAATATCTGCTTCCAATGGTGGGAATGGGCAAGGAGTCCCACCTTCTTCTGTAGTGACACCAATGGGACAGCCAGTACCTGTTGGTGCTCCAGGGCTTGCTTCAGATGTTCAAGCTGCCCCAAACAGTCAGGGTGCACCTGGGGCTTCGAACACAGCTCCAGGCGGGCTTGATGCCTTGCCACCTGCTGCATCACCCACTACTGTATCGCAAGTGAATTCTCAACTGTCAGGTTCTAGCCCAATGCAGGATGCCCCCCTGCCACCAAACTTCATACCTGCAAATGGACCTCTTCCAAGCTCGGGTACCAATCCATCTGCAAACTCAGCCAACCAGAATGGCCTCCCATCAAGTCCAGAAGATTATGGCCCCACGGTCACTAGTCAATCTGGCCCAATCATTTTGCAACCAATGTCCCCCAGTGGTGTTGCTGCGGCTGTTGGCTCAGGTCATTCGCCCAATTCAGTAGAAGACCCATCCAATCCAAGTCACAATTTGCCCATGGGAAAGGCCCCATCCGTGCTGACACCAAATGTGGCTCCAGTTGTCCTGTTGTCGTCTCCACTCGCTAGTCCTTCAGTTGCTGGTGCAGGCATGTCTACACCATCAGCAGTTTTGCCTGGGACTCTCACACCGTCAACGTCAATAGCACTTCTTGCTTTCTCAAATAATGCTGGTGGCTCAGCAGGGTTTCAACTTCCTGCTTCTTTGTCACCCCCACCAGAAGGTACCCCACCCGCAGCAGCATCCACTGATTCTCGTTCGGAGGAAGCCCCAAGTCAAGTGTCGTCTAGCACAATATCACCTGCATCATCTGAGCAACTACATGCATTTTCCAATGCGTTAGGTGGGGTAATATCAGCCGAGTTGTCCTCTAAAGAACCAACACCCCAACCCACATTCGAGCCAACAGAAGGTGTAACGCCAGAACCAACAATGCAACCCACGAATCAGCCAACGCCCCAACCAACATTCCAGCAGGCGACTGCAGATCCAACACCACAGCCAACATTCGATCCAACTCCTGGGCCAACTATTCGGCCTGGCGATCCCACGTTTAGCCCCACGCAGCCCCCTACTGATCCACCAACAGCCCCCCCAACAATGCCCCCAACAGGTGTCCCTACTCCCATACCAACTGTCAGTCCGACTGAGCCCCCTACAGAACCTCCAAGCAACCCTCCAACAATCCCCCCATCACTAGCTCTCAGTGTCACTTGTGATGAGCCTGTTGTCAATGTTCAGACAAACTACTATGTCTACTTTACTGGTGATGTAGCAACGCTTCCGGGGGCAGAGCTGATATCTGCCTTCTCAGCTGGTTATGCGGCTCTTGCGAAGACTTCTTGTGCCGAAAGCCTGGATCTTGTTGTCCCTCAAAGGCGTTTCACACGGAGAAGACTGCAATCATCCGGATCGCCCGTAATTGAATTCTTGGTCCAGACAAGGCAGCTATCATTTGGAAGCCTGTTTCCTACTGCAGATGAGGTAACCAAGTTTGTGAATGGGTTCAACAATGATTTTCAAGGTGGTGCAACAGTTGCCATACGAGTGAGTGACAATCTCAATACGAATACCCCTACAACTTCCCCTAGCCCACTACCTACAGTCACTCCTGGTTCCCCCAGTGTAAGCCCCACAGTACCCCCAACAGAACCTCCCACCAACCCTCCAGCAGATGGACCTACATTCACGCCGAGTCCTATACCTGCTGTAACTCCTGGTTCCCCCACTGACAGGCCCACAGAGCCCCCAGCAGAATCTCCAACCAACGCTCCAACGGATGAACCTACGTTCGCCCCGACTCCTATTCCCACTGTAACTCCTGGTTCCCCCAGTGTCAGGCCCACCGAACCCCCAACAGAACCTCCCACCAA